GGTGATGTTAACTCCATTCGAACCGGCACTGAATAGTTAGTGGATAAACAAAATTTCAGATTTTCATCATACAAGGTGTTGGAGATAATAGTACAAAATCATTCTCCGAGGCCCCCCTTTGAGGGGCTGTATCTTTCTTGGGGCGCACTTCAAAAGAAAATGTTACCAAGGTTTTCGTAATTATTTCACTCACTCTATATACTCCCAAAGTTTGACCACCTATTTTAGAATCACCTTGTATATTTATATGAAGCAATACATTGAGAATTCGCATTCTCTATGTGATGAGAATATCTACTCTTTTTCAGTTTATTCAATAGAAAACAACTACTTTCCTAGCTATATGCCACGACGAACATTGAATTATATCTATTGAACACACACGATAAGAGTTTGAAAATAAAATATAAAAACTGCTGAAATTGAGAATTGGCATTCTCCTTCAGACAAAAATATGTATATGCACACATCATTTTGAATATTCAACAGAAAACAACTACTTTCCTGGCTATTTGCCACGTCGAACATTGATTTATATCTGATGAACATTCAAAAGGAGAGTATGAAAAATGAAAAATAAAATTCTTCGAAATTGAGAATAATTGACATTCTTCTTCAAATCAGATGAATAAAATGATGTATAATGATATTGAAATATAACTTACCAATATATTCAGCATTGAAATGAAGATTGGAATGTATAGGAGAAGTATACTGGCATAAAATCTGATCTTGATGAGCTTGAAAACTTCCAAAAATAATCATTCATATCAGTGACTTGGGAAATATTATCTCTCACACACAGGTTATATAATAAGTTCTTGGGAATACTTCCATTGGCAAAGAATTTTTTTATCGCTTGATGCGCACGACAGGAAATCCCTATTATTGAAAAAAAATATTCTCAGATATATTTATGAACACAAAAAAATGGATACATATATGAAGAAATACATTGAGAATTCGCATTCTCCATGTGATGAAAATATTAATTCTTTCTCGGTTCATTCAACAGGAAACAACTACTTTCCTGGCTATATGCCAAAACGAACATTGAATTACATCTATTGAACACACACGATTAGAATTTGAAAACAAAATCTCCTGAAGTAGAGAATTTGCATTCTCCTTCATATGAAGATATGCACATTCATTCTGAAAATTCAACATAAAACAACTACTTTCCTGGCTATTTGCCACGTCGAACATTGAATTATATCTGTTGAATATCCAAATAGAAAGCATCTAAAATCAAAATCCTCTGAAATTAAGAATTGGCATTATCTCTCAAATTGAATAGAACAATATGATGTATCATGATAATAAAATATAAGTTTCCACTATTTTCAGTATTGAAATGTATACTCAGCGAGCACAAAAATCCCTGGGATGTTTTGGGATGTTTTGAAAATGTTGGCATGAAGATGTTATTTTGAGACGTAATATGCACTGACCAAAGAGGTCTTTGAAGGATATCGAAGTATTGTTTTTGTTCTTCTGTGGCATTTCTTTGTTTGCCTACTGAGAGGTATCCCTGGGATGTTTTGGGATGTTTTAGAAATGTAGGCATGAGGATGTTTTATTGAGGCGTAATATGCACTTCCCATAGAGGTCTTAAAAGGATATTGAAAGTATTGTTTTTGTTCTTTTGTGCCCTTTCTTTAATTGCCCCACCACGACGTCTCATGCTTACGTCACAATACGATGAATTCTGATTTGTTTTCGATTTTGTTCTTCTTGTTCGCAATTGGCATTCGCGTTTGCAGCGTGTCACGCTTACATCACGCTGCTAACGAACAGAAAGGAATTTGGTGGAGTTTATTCTGTTAGAAGACTTATTTAGTTTGTAATAATGACCATCAGATGCAAGATGTGTTGTTCGGTGCCTCAGTGTAATCAATATATGAAAGTACAAATTCATCAATACACAGCTTCTCCGCAGTTGCAAAATTATGCATTGTGGAGAACATTTCAAAAATTGGGAAACCTATTTCCAATTATACGTCTGTGTGTAGTAAGCACTACTCAGAAACCGATTAAGAAGGTAATTTCATATCAAGAAAATATTTGGAATCCTAATGCAAAAGTTCATTTTGACAAAAGGCTTCAGAAAAGTACCTCGAAAATGGTTTTTTTCCAGCGATTAAATGTGCTCAAGACACGTTGAAAATGTTCTGTTGTGTCCATGAAAAGGCTTCAAAAAAACTAGGAAGAAGGTAGTTTTGTGACATATCAAGGACATCTCGATAATTGCCGCCTGCGGCGGACATTGGCTGTTCTATAATAGTTCTATTCATGTGAGAACAGAACATCGCAGTGGAGGTTCAATGTCTCGAAATCTCGTACTTTCAACATCTCTGAGATGTTTTTGTGCTCGCTGGGTAGGAAAAGTATACTTGTATCAACTCTGATCTTGATGAGCTTGCAACTTTCAAAAAAATCATTCTTATCAGTGATATGGGAATTATATCTCTCACAAACAGGTTATAAGTATGACTTCACTCGAGTAAAACTCATTTCAATTTGGACGGAATCTGAGAGCATCAGTGTATGTTTGACTGCTGAACCCCATATGTGAGAACAGTATTCACGAAAAGGCCGTATCTCTGCTTTGTTAATCATGAGAAGCTGGTGCGAGGTGTAAATTAGATTTCCGCACGAAAAAAAAAACGAGTTTTTGTGAAGCAGCTTCCGCGATGGATCGGGCATGATTTTATCATCAAAGAGTATTGCTGATGGAAATACCGAGCATAGATATAGTGGACTTGGTGGGAATAATGGTGATACCAGACATAGTTATATCAGGCATACTGAACTCCGCCTGTCTAGAGAAAATACAGGCTTGAGTTTTGGTAGCGTTGAATTCAACTAGGTTGTTGGTTCCCGAGGCTGTAATTCCAGCAAGATCGACATTGACAGCGTTGACCTGCCTTCCTCGTGTCAAAATTGTTATACTGATAATGGAGATAGAGCTTCGACACTCTGGCAGATGGTCATGTTTTCGTATTGATATTTCGTACCATCGTGGCCCTATCTCCCCTACCTGTGTATATGTTTTCAGTCGGGTTTTCACCGTGTACAAAGTACACGGTGCTCTGTATTCAGGAAAACCCTCTGAAGTAACAAGATTATGGAAGGTCAACCACCAAAAAGTCCAGCACATGAAATACATGGTGGCTCGTTTCATGATACCTAATGCTTCATGAATCATAAGCTAAAAGTGACAAACATAGTCATCGAATGGAAATACATGGTATAAATTCCACCATACGATTTGATATTCGGCTATCAAAACAGAATTATTGACACTGGACACAGGTAAGGAAATTGTTAGAGGTCAATAAAACGACAAATTGTCCAACTGTGGTAAAGTTAGATGCTTATAGGAAAACGCCACAGTGTTTATTGAAATGTACACGATGGTTCTGTTGATGGTTCTAACAAGAATAATATGCTGCATAAGCCTGTCGAAAACATGTTTCAGAATAATTAACCTATCCAACCCAGGAAACTTGAATGAAACCTCAACGAACAATGCGTGATTGAATATTTTGGATACACGTTTTGCACCATAGGAATTAGGTTACGAATTAGGAGATATGATTATGGGGCATACTCCAATATAGCAATGACGAACTTTCACTGTTGTTTATAGAAAAACCGAATTATTGATATTCATACACACTGATGGAATATTCATATGATAATGTGACGAACCGATGTACAATAATTATTGTTCATTATTCGTGGATAGCTCAGATGGAACATATTATAAAAATAATGGAAAGGAGAGAAGCACATCAGATCAGTATACCAGATTTAGTAGCATAATGGGACTTATTTACTGATATGTATCCAGCACTTTCTTGATCAGACTCCGTAGCCTTGACAGTGACTCTCAAAGTTTACTGATTTTATTTTTTTCACTTTCACAAGGAAATTTGAGTCTTATACCTACCAACACACAATACTAACTATATAGACAGCAAATGTCATAAGATCACATATCTTTTTCACTCTCATTTATGTTCCCGAACACCAAGAGACATGATTTGATCTCATAAACGACAGTTTCGTATGCAGGCCAGTAATTTGGATGAGATTTTCGGGATGCCCGGATGATATTTCTAATGGGCTATACGAAATCTGAATAGAACTGGATAGAAATAAACATAATAATGAGCCACTGTATTATACATAGAAAGTTATATAAGGCCTCGTTCTCATCCTGTCGATAAGTTGAGAACTAACCAAGATACGGAAACTGCTCAGACAGTGAGGATTTTCAACTTCGCCCTGTATCTCAAAAATATGAAGGACTGTGGAGATTTTGTCTGTGGAATTATGTGTTTCGCAAAAAAAGTAAAGCAGTAATGTGAAAACCTCAACACTCTATCTCTAAGGAAGGATAACTGATATATCGTGCAAAAGCATCGAAAACTGGACACACTGTACAGTGTTTCTATGTCATAAGAGGGTCCGTTTTCAGAAGGTACTATTATTTATTTCGAAAAATGAAACATTCCAGTTGATTTTTCGATCGAATTATGTCGTCAATCATTATTTATGTATAAAAGGATCATTATAAACATGGTTTGAGTTAAAAGTTCTACTAAGGTGTACACGCCCATTCTGAATAATGAACACATTTTCAGCGGATTACTATACAATGGTCATTTCTGAGTCGATTTTTAACAAACCAATTCTCATGCAAATTCAACTTCTTGCTGATGGCCTATTAGATATACATATAAAGCAAACAATTCCTCTTATTCTAGTTAAATTGAGTAATTGAGTAATAGTGGTGATAGCAAATTTGATGGGCTAGGTGACCTCAAACAGAAGGCTTCATGATGGAAATAGTCGAAGATCTTCTTCAACAAAACAAAAAATCGCAATTTCTGCGTCGAAAATGATGTTTAGGATCGACATTCTCTGTAATGGTTCAACCTTGCTTTTTGGTACTTACCTTAATTTCCCACAGAGTTGTTTGTACTCACCTCTTTTTCTGGGAGCGGCAACTGAAAAAAAAAAGAGAACATTCAATATGCCTGTGGAATATTCGTAGAGAAAGTGTACTCTTCTAAACGTTTATCAGCTCTCATCTACTAAGATGGTTTGGCACTCGCCTTTATCATGAATTCATCTCTATTGAATAACACAGATGATCACAATTAGTTCTATAATTTTTCAATAAGTTCATTATAAATTTTCATTGTGTAAATTAATACTTATATTCGGTTATCGAATTGGAATTTTTTATGATGGAAAACTTTATTCATAAATACCTTGTATAATTGAATCGTACAAATCCATTATTACTCCTTGATAATATGAATTTCAATTTTGAGAAAACGTACACAACATATTTTTCACGGAACTGAAGACGAGTGTTAGAAAATACAATTTATATAACCAGTTTGTATATCAACTTGAATGGTTATTGCTTGGTTATCTATCGAAAATTGTCCGCTAACGATCATTCCCATTCTTTGAAGTAACCAAACAATATTTAGGTGCAATTAAAACACCCAAGTTATCAGTGCCTGCAAGTGAAGTATAGTTCATATTGAATTACAAATCTTTACAATGCAATAACATAAACATTTATTACAGAATCGCGTATATAGATTCATGCATTTATTTTGATACGATCTACAGAAAAATACTGTAATTCGACTTCAATCACATAGGTTCTCTGCAATTAGCAATAATGTTCATACTTGGATTAAAAGTACATTACATTGTAGGATATCAAGATTTCCCTATTAATAAATGTCATCGACACTCATCTGATGACCTCGAAATCCGCCAATATCAATATTGAAGGAGAAGTATTTTATATACGGGTTATATATTATTCCATATTCGGTCAGGTATCAGAATCAAATGGCAACATGGAGAACCTCTAGCTGTGGTGTTAAATATATCGAAGGCATCCGACCATACATAATAATCCGTAGCTGATTGAGGAATAAAATGATAATAAAAATCAAAAGATGAATGTCAATTCCAGAAAAACCGAATGATGAAAAAGAATTCCTAGAATGTGAGAAAGTTTTTTTTAAGTTCTGGTTCCCACGAAAATGGATATCATGTAATGTTCAGAGAACATCGTGAGAACCAAGGGCAATAAGGTAGGAATTGGTGTTCTTCTTAAATTTTCTGGAGGTTATATGCCTCGGGGAACATCTCCCTTGGCAATATGTTCCAGAGCCTCGCTGTTCGTTGGATGAACGAGTCTTTGGAAAGAGATGTTCTGCAGGTCTCCAAAGCGACCACGAAGGGGTGCGAAGCCTCCACTCGACGGGTTAATCTCGCGGGGACTGCCAAGGGAGGAACAATTGTTGATATTCCAGAAGAGCATCGTCCATAAAAATATCCATAAAATATAGCCAGATCGCCAAATTTTCTACGGTGTTCCAGAGAAGTGAGTGGGTTTGTGAGCGAGGCATCACCCACGAGACGAATTGCCCTTTTTTGGACAGAATCCAACAGTTTCAGGGTATGTTTGGGTGCTGCACTCCACATATGGGAACAGTTTTCCAGGACAGGTTGGATCTGTGCCTTATAGATCATAAGCAACTGACTGGAAGTGAAATAGCTCCTGGCCCGACACAGAAAACCAAGCTCTTGGGATGCACTTTTAGCAATTGATCTCACGTGATTTTCCCAGAAAAGGTTATTGCTGATAGTAATACCAAGCATCGAAATGGATGTCTTCAAAAGTATGGTTACTCCTGACAAGCTTATGTTGGGCACAGCGAGATCGGCTTTTCTAGAGAAAAGGCATGCTTGTGTTTCGTTTGCATTGAAATCTACCAAGTCCATATTTATGTTGTCAACATTTATCTAATGAGCATATCCGATGTTCCAAATTTCAGAAATATAGCTAGAAAAACAAAGGGGAAAAGAGAGGTATACCATGAGTCTGTGTCCCCCAGTATACCAGTCAAATTGTGTGCATTATTATGGAAGTTACTGCAGTTGTTTCTACAAAAGAGTCTTCCGTAATAAGAAGCTATGTTTTTAATTTCCTGATCAAGAGATACGGTGATGCAACTGAGTATGGCCTCATGATCAAATACCCCGGAAGATGAGACTTTTGTGGTCACGTTATCAAGGTTACTTCACATATTATGTAATCCATCAATGATTCTTTGTCCTATGTTGAACGTGTTGGCTCAGTCACATACATTTTCAAATTATAGGATTCCAATACATTTATTAGTGACTGGGTAGGTTTATTTTGAATGTCACTCTGATTTATATTGAGGTAACTATGGAAGAGAAGTAGGAGGAAGGGGTCGGAAGTATAGGTACAAATTCTTCGTCACTGTGCTTATCGAAATTTATGTGCCTTGTGCTGGAAGAAAAGGAATCAAGATCATAAAGTTACAAAGTTGATCTCAAATTTAGCCTATGGAGATCGGGACCATTCTGCTTCGGAAGCTTCACCATGGAGAACCCCAGGGTTCTGTGCTCGAGCCATTGCTATTCATTCTATGTATCAATGACATGACTAAGTTGAACATAAGCGGGAAATGTACTCTCTTCGCTGACGATACTATATCATCTTGTGGAGTAATAGAACAGTGGAGGATTTGCGAAACAAAATATCACAAGCTGATGACAAAATTCATCAATGGAGCAGATCAAACTGACTATCGTCCATTATACAGAAAACAAATCTAATAACTTCTCGATGTGATAAGCCTGATATATTTCTGGACAATCAAATGATCGAAAACATATCGAACACGAAGTTCCTGGACAAAAAATTGAAATTCGATCTGCATGTCTCACATTTATGCAATAAACTAGCATCAGGATGCTATGCTATCAGATTAATATCCAATGAGTTGGAATATTCTGCTGTTTTAACTGCCTTCTATGCTCTGATCGAAGCCTATTTGAGATAAGGAATGGCATTCTGGGTAACTTGTTATAACCACCTTTCAAAGTCCACCTTCATCTTACAAAAAAGAGCAGTACACTATATTTCGTAGTGTAAATTCGAGAACCTCTTGTGAAGAGTTATTTAACAGTAGTTCCCTGTTCATCATACTCCTGTGACAATACAAACAGTTATGGAATCTGTGGTTATGGTTATGCTATCTCGACCTTGCACTTCACTTATTAATTTATAACGGCTTGAAAATATACAATCACCTTCCACATACAGTAAGATCCGCTATATGAAAAAAATCAGAAAAGAGGTTGAAAATCTTTTAGTGCCTTATGCATTTTATGACATTGAGCATTTTCATTCACAAGTATTTCAGACGAAGCAGCTTGTGTTTATATGTATATGTCAATCTTACCCGTATTCATGTTATTGTGTTTTACATACATCATGTCATTGTACCTAGTTTAGCCTACAAGGATCTATATTCTTAATGGACAATACAGCATATTTTGATTGATTGATTGGAAACATTTTGAACGAGTTCGATGAAAGAAAAATCGGTAATGTGGCGTGAGCAAGAGCAAACTTCTGAGGATATGATGATGTAGGTGCTAATCAGTTTCATAAACAGCAATTGAAACAGTAATAATTCAGTTCATACCCATTATGATGCATTTGCCACGAGTTTAGTTCAGTCACACTCGCAACTCATCAACTAATCAATCATAAATCATGTGGGTATTGTTCTACAGAATTTTTATGTCTCCAATAAAAACAATGTAGTACATTCACTTCGAATTTAAATATGCAATACATGAAGCATTATTTCATCAAGATCTCTAGATTCTGGGAACTGTTTCTTCCCTAAACAGCTACAGAATTGAATACTGTCTGTAGGTTTATCGAGGAGGTGGTATATTCATTATTCCTAGTGATTCACACGAGACCAACGAGACGAGACTTTCATAAAGTCTCGTCTCGCTGATGAAGTATGAAGTCTTGTCTCGAGTCTCGTCTCGCAGCCACGAGTCTCGTCTTGTCTCGCGTCTCGTACGAGAGTACAAATTAACAAAACAAAAACTTTAATCCACCATTATTCCGCCGTTAGAGAGAGAATAGTCCGTTTTTGTTTCACGTATTACTTCGTTTTATGACAATCACGGATTGTGTTTTTAAAGTATTTATGAATTAAATGTTTCGTCTCTCTGTGCAAAATAGTCTGAATTCTTTCTGAATATGTGGTATTTTGAATGAAATTCTCAAGTCTGCAGTCGCCACGCAGAAATATTTACCTCTCGCACGAGACACGAGAAGTCTTGCACGAGACTCGAGACGAGACCAATGAAAGTCTCGTCATGTCCGAGTCTCGTCTCGAGTCTTGTCTCGAAAACGAGACGAGACCATGCGAGACTCTCGAAAACGAGACTCTCGCGGGCACCACTAATTATTCCAGATTTTTTGGGATTTTCTCTCCTCGTTTCTATAAAATAAAATTTCGAATATTATTTCAATATACGTGTAGTAAGGACAAATCAGATGATTTGCCCCAAAATGTCACTGCCTTTGAAGAATTTTCCTATCAGAGAGCCTAAAAGAAAAATTCAATAGCTTGTCAGTGACAATTTGTATTGAAAAAGGTTTGGAGAAGGGAAATAAAGGTATATAGTAAGAATATCAAATTTTCACTAAGCTTTGGACGTTCCGGGAACGAATCTGCTTCCGTTTTCAACATAAAAAATGGATATTTGAATAGCAAATTCGTATTCGTCTTGAAGATGGACAACATATGGCAGAATGAAATAATATTAAAATCATTGGAAAAGAAGATAACAACCAGAGAAGAAAAATCAAGGAATCTGCTTGCATTCTTCTGAACCGAAACAATGGCATTGCTTCCTGTTCAGTTGATATAGATAGAACATGGTATTCACTACTGAAATCTGAAAGTGAAAATGGTAAATTCAAGATTAATTAATGAAAACATCCTGTAAGTCATTTGCTGTCATTTGATTGCCAACGTCACCAATTGTCACTGAGAACTGAAAAGTATCAAGACAAATACGGATTCGCAAGTCAAATATCCATTTTTTATGTTGAAAACGGAAGAAGATTCGTTCTCAAAACGTCCAAAGCTAAGTGAAATTTTGATATCTTTTTATATACCTTAATTTCTCTTCTCCAAACAAGAGAAGATCCCAAACAATCTGGAATAATGAAGCATTAAAATTGTCCAACGATGTCTACTAACTTGACTATAAGACTGGACAGTTGACACTGATTGATTGATGCGAGTGACATCAAAGGGCATCAGATTCATGCTGCATATCACACAGACGATCAGAATTCAGTCCTGCTAGATAAATCACGGCCAATCTGCCCCACTCAAAACCAGCAAATCCAGGATTTCCCCCAGGATGAGATAAAGAAAAAGTTCGGCTCTGTGAAACAATTCACCACAAGACTGAGCAAGAATAGAACAGTGGATCCATTGGTACTGAGCTCAAAAAAAAGGGCCATAAATTTCTACGCAGAGATGGCTCCGAAACCGAAGATGGAAATGAGATTCTCAAGTATATTTTCCTGGCGGAAGTTCATCACGTTATAAAAAAAGGTGTACTTACAGTTCAATCTTGTAGAATATATCTGCACAATGTATATGACACCCAATATTTTTACTGTGTTCTCAGTCGAAAAGAATGAAAGAATTTGGTTAGGCAGACAGAAAATTCTTCTTGATGAAGGTAGTTAAAATAATTGGAAATCATTAGGTTTCATTCTGAAAATTTCTTTTTAATAGCTTTTGTAGGGAAGTGGTTATATAAGTTGTTAGGTCAACACAATGATTGATAAAATATGTTCCTACTTACTTACACTGAAAATTCCACACCAAACATTTCAAAGCCTGTATTTCGTATCGTTACCATAGCAACTAAACAAATTTCTTGGAAATTGTTTCCTTCCTGGAAATTTTTTGACGTTTATAGGTTAAATGTCATTCACAATCAACTTCAGATTATTTCGAGTTAATTCTATAAGTACATGAATAAAAATCATTTATCAACAGTTTACCATATAATATTATATAGATATACTTGCAAATTCGAAATTTACGAGAACACATGTTGTTACTATACGTTAGTTATTACATTTCATCACAAACAACCATAATTTTCAACTAAATCATCTAAGTGTTCTTGAAATTCCTTAGCTACGTCTTCTTTCTTCAATGGAGAATATAAAAACAAACAGCAGTCACTAGAAAATGTCTATGTTGCATGGAATTTATGTAGTACTTCGAAACAATCTTATTCTGCTGTAATCCACGAAGAGCTCCACATTTTTCACACACCAGAAGCAAATGATATTTGATAATCCCAAACAAATTTGGTGAATTAATTTCTGGCCAGCATTCTTCTACTAAATACTAAATTTTAGATTCCGATGATACTTTTCAATGTCACTAACTTAATTACAAAACTTGCATAAACCGTATTCCGCGAATCGCTTCATCTCTACAAACTCTACAACACAACGAATTTATTTAGATAATTAATACTGCAGATAACCTCAAAAGATAGAATTACCTACTAGGTTTGAGTTAACATACAAAGCCTACTTCTTCGACTCGAGGACATTTTCAAAATATTCGTGTACTCGAAAAAATTTCCGGAAATAATTGAAGCTCTCGTGATATTATAAGTGAAAATAATGACGAAGGTGCTAACTATAATGTGAAAAATTGGTTTGAACGATTCATATGAGCAACTCCATCATACCAATCTATAAAAATAATACTCTCATTCTATTCATCAATTCGTGACAACGAACTCCAATATTTACTATCAATTAAATGAAACAGTCATAAAATGTTCTAGCACAGTGTCAAATTTCTCATAGGTACCCATTCTGTTTTTGGTGACATTGAAATCATTAGCAAAACACACGTTTGGTTGAGATATTAGGTAAGTAATGTATTATGTTGACGCTGCATATAAATGAGCGAAACGATTTAATTTAAATACCTACCTATTTGAATAATGTCAGTAACGATCATTTGATTCATAATTGAATCAACTACGGTAAGTGTTCGCAAGGGCAACATTTTTCTTTGTCAAGCAATGTTGATATTCCACTGACGCGGCTAAGAAAAATAACATAACGTCGGCTTACTATCAAAGCCTCCTAAGTCCGAATTCAAGGGAATTTTAGGTTTGAACATGTTCACCATCTACGAAATTCAGCGCACCCATCACCAAATCATCGTAAGTCTATGTTTTTGGTAGTGACATCTATTAGATTCAATTTAAACCTTCACTCAAAAAAATTGATGGGTTAAATCAACCAAAAAGAGCATATGAAAATAAGCCTATCTGGTTTAATAATTAAATCAACCAGCGAACAATAGTTGAATATGTTTAGTCACCATACGAATGTAATTGTTGTTTTGATCAAGAAAATTGGTCATCAACCAGATTTTAATCTCACAACAAAATGAGTGGTATGTTAACCATAATTTTTGTCCCTTCACTTATATTTGGTATAGATAGCCATAATATTTGGGTCACCAACAAAGTGCATAGTTGATAAAGGTATATTGACTATGCACTATGTACCACTGAATTAATACAGATTTCGAATAAACATCAAGTTTATTCATTACATGGTGGTCAACTTTACAAAATATTTATAGTATAATTCCCTTCATTTGTGATTTATCGTCTCCGTTATTTTAATACACTCTTCCATTTATCCTTTATGGACGTTATTCAATTGCTACCACAGTTTATCATCATCTTCCTGCAAGAAATGTATAGAATCGAAATATGAATTTGATAGTGAATTGATTGGATTCATGAATAATACTCACCATCACATAATTACGATCATCTGATAAATTTTCCTCATTATGATTATTAATTGGGAAGACAACATCAGTGGTACTCCTTGACGAGAGAGAGAAAATGTTCTCAATCTTCTTGTATGGTTCTGGTACTTGTCATATTCAACCTCCCTGGGGATACATCCACTTCTTCTGTACTGAATGATCCAAAAATTGAAGAGAGTCCTGAGAAAAAGAGACGAACTTGAGCAATAATTTCATACAGTGTGTTAAATCATTACCAAATTCAGTACTAAATTATAACTCGATATTGAATACAGTGATTACATAATCGACTTACCCAAATCACTTCATTGCAGAATAGGTATAACGTAAAACGATGATATCAAAATAATATAAAGCCACAGAGAAGGTTGGTTGATATTCTGAAAAAGGTATACCTATGTTGTGAACGTTGTGAGAACATTAAAAGAATATTCTGTGCTGTCTGGGATTCAGCACGCGACATTCGGACTATACAATAAAGAAAATCATCCAAGTAATCGGCGTACATAATCTGTGAGGTCATTTTTTCACGGTGTATTATATCTGAAGGCAATTATTCTGACGGTTAACTTGTCTGCAGTCTATATTATACATTAAAAACTGATTGTGCGTGATAAACTGCGAGATCTGAGCCATCGCTGTCAGAATCTTATTTTCTGTATTTCCGACAAAATTGTAGCAAGTACAAGAATCTCACCTTGTATACCTACCCAGAAATCGTGAAAAAAAAACACTATATATGGTATGGCCAGTGTGACCAGGGACGAACCGGAAGAGACTTTTGGGGAGCCAGTAAGTGAATTTTGCCAACTCATTTTCAAACTTTCCAATTTTCATTTTGAACAATGAATTAATAAATCGAAGGACGACGTTGTCTTGAGTTATCTTTTCATCTATTCACAATATGATATTTCCTCAACAGTAGCAAATTTTGGAATTCCGAGTTTGAACTGGAAATATTGATGGGATAGCAGAAATTTCTGTTTCCATGAGCTACGAGTCGGAAATTCAGAGCACGCAGTAGAGTATTTCATTTTCAGATTAAAAACCTCTATGTAACTGGAAATTTTATTTTCCGAATTGAACTCAATATTCAGAATTTGATTTTCTCAAGCTCTGAATTTGGCTTTAAATTCTCTACTCATCAGCCGGAAAGTTCGAGTTTACAGTTGGAAGTTCCTATAGTTTGGACTGAAAGTGTTATTTTCCTTCAAAGAAATTCCGACTACAAAATCAAAATTTCAATTTTTTCAAGTTGGAAATTCCTAGTTCGAAGCCAGAACAAACAAATATTTACTATGAAACGATTTTTTGTGAAACTTTCCCAAACTCAATTTTCCGAATCGTCTAGGATTGGGGTGGGATCGAAGAGACAAGAATAACCACTATATGTTTGGGCAGGATACAATATGAAATTCACATAAAATATAAAGATACCTATACGTAACCGAATCTGACATACTGCCATCGATATCAGATCTGTTCTTTATTCGATGAGAAATATATGTCGATCGAGTCTCTTAGGTGATATGTTTCAAGACCTTTTCATTTTATGAAATTCACTGAAAATGATATGAACCGCCAATCAAAACTATAAACCACTATTGTGGTAACATAAATAGGATGTGTCTACGAGTGACAAGGAGGCTCTTTTTTTACATCCAAAGCTAATATATTACTGGACAAATAGGGTTGAAGATTATCAGTCTGAAAACTTCTTTCTAAGGCAATGAGAATTTGCATTTTTCATGAGACACTGATTGATTCTTCTGCTGAATGAAACTATTCGGTTGGTATGAAATTGTATCTGTCCGCCGCTGTTGAGGCAGATGGCCCTGTACACTGTCTCATTTCACAAGCAAATCTATGTTTGTTTTCTGTGTCATGCTCCAGACCCATACATAGAAGTGAACACGTGGTGGGTTGGTTCAGATGGATATGCCCCAGATAACAAATGCACGATGGACAAGGTCCAGTTTCTTGTCTTGTTCATCATTTCAATTTCATTCATTTCATGTAGAATGTTTATGTGAATTGTGATTCACGGATAAATTTTCTTCAATTTGACATATTTTTTCTGGACAACTAATCAGATATTATCAAACGAGGTAGTTATGCAGTTGATCATAATACAGAGGATGTCACGGTGACTCGATGGCCGAAAGTGCTTTCCTTATCCACTTTTGTCTTGAACTCAAAAGTTAAGAAGTTATGAGCAATTAAATCAAAACTTTGCTCACCAGTAGATTCCAAGAGGTGGTCCAATTCTTACCCAGCGAGCACAAACATCCCTGGGATGTTTTGGGATGTTTTGAAAATGTTGGCATGAAGATGTTATTTTGAGACGTAATATGCACTGACCAAAGAGGTCTTTGAAGGATATTGAAGTATTGCTTTTGTTCTTCTGTGGCATTTCTTTGTTTGCCTACTGAGAGGTATCCCTGGGATGTTTTGGGATTCTTTAGAAATGTAGGCATGAGGATGTTTTTTTGAGGCGTAATATGCACTTCCCAAAGAGGTCGTAGAAGGATATTGAAAGTATTGTTTTTGTTCTTTTGTGCCCTTTCTTTGTTTGCCCCACCACAACGTCTCATGCTTACGTCACAATACGATGAATTCTGATTTGTTTTCGATTTTGTTCTTCTTGTTCGCAATTGGCATTCGCGTTTGCAGCGTGTCACGCTTACATCACGCTGCTAACGAACAGAAAGGAATTTGGTGAAGTTTATTGTGTTAGAAGACTTATTTAGTTTGTAATAATGACCATCAGATGCAAGATGTGTTGTTCGGTGCCTCATTGTAATCAATATATAAAAGTACGAATTTATCAATACACAGCTTCTCCGCAGTTGCAAAATTATGCATTGTGGAGAACATTTCAAAAATTGGGAAACCTATTTCCAATTATATGTCTGTGTGTAGTAAGCACTACTCAGAAACCGATTAAGAAGGTAATTTCATATCAAGAAAATATTTTTATGTTCAATCTACCTTTAAAGCATTTTTTCATTCAAGGGAAATGGAATACTAATGTAAAAGTTCATTTTGACAAAAGGCTTCAGAAAAGTACCTCGAAAGTGTTTTTTTTTCAGCGATTTAATGTGCGCAAGACGCATTGAAAATGTTTCGTTGTGTCCTTGAAAAGGCTTTAAAAAGAACTAGGGAGAAGGTAGTTTTGTGACATATCAAGGACATCTCGATAATTGCCGCCTGAACAGAACATCGCAGTGGAGGTTCAATGTCTCGAAATCTCGTACTTTTAACATCTCTGAGATGTTTTTGTGCTCGCTGGGTACTACTTACTATACTGTATCCAAATAAACCACAAACCATGGACGAGCTAATTCAAATATCATGACTACAGCTGCATCCATGAAAGAAGACCCAGATACTGTTCAGAGAGCAAAGTTTTCAATAATTTGACGAGCAAGAATGTGTTGTGAAGCAGCAGGGGGGAGGGGGAATTTCGAACAAAACCTTCATTCACTTTTTTTGGACTGTGTATGTTTTTCCATTATTTATATTTGAAACCTACCATAGTGTTTTGAATATTGTGATGGGGTGAGGTTTTATGAACTCCTTCTGGTCAATCGTCTGAGATTTTAAAACTTTTCCAATTCACGAATTGAATATTAGAAGAAATACCATGCCCTGTCTGGGAATCTAACCCAAAACCTCTTCCCCCCTTTAATGGCTATGTAACTTTTTCCGCGTCAAATTAGAAAAAAAAAACATTCTAGTTATGAATTATAAATGAGAATTCAAAGTTATGTAAGTGTGATTGATTTCATAGGATAGCTTAAATTGGATCATGCAAATGTGGAAAGAAAAACTCAAAAACGAACAACAACAAATTATAGAGATTTTTTTCTTCATTTTATCCAAGACACTTCATCAGAATTTTTAAAGAAAAGCTTTACACATTTTCATACCATTATCGATGAAAATAATTGTTCTCACAAATAGGTATATTTGTCCATTTGATTCCATAAAATGTATGATTAAATACAGTAGATAAGACATCCAATGATTAGCATTTTTTTTGAGAAGGATCCTTCTTCTTTTCCTTTTCGCAAAGGTTACTCTTCTGTTCCTTCTTACAGGGGTCCTCTTTCTTGCTAGGATCCTCGCAATCTTTCTTCTGTACGTATTTGATCAGGTCCACCAACTTGGTGGCATAGCCGGTCTCATTGTCATACCAACTCACCAATTTAACGAAGTTATCGTTGAGTGATATTCCGGCATTAGCATCAAATATCGAAGTACACCCGCTACCTATAAAGACATTAAATTGATCATGTTTTATATGCACATTCAAGTAATAACCCAAAACACAATATAGATCTCTATCAATAAAAGTTACTCCTCATCTTGTGATTCTTTGAAATAGAAATTCGTCGAAATCATTCAAAATGCAATTTGATTCAATCGAGTATTTGTAGAAGAATCAACACACAATCCTAACCCAGGTATGCCCACCGTCCTTCAATAAGGACAATGCGTAATTTGGGTGTATTTCGTGGATTTTCTCATGGATGACAACACTTATATCAAATGAAAATACATCCGTTATGAATAATTATTATCAACAGCTCATCAGCAATTCGTGAATACAAATTGAAATCAAGGAATTTATTCAAGTTGGATATGCAAATTGATCTTAATTTGGTTGGTAAGAAATATGACTAAAATATTCTAGCTGATTCATTCATATTCTTCATACTATTTTATTATTATGTTAAGAATAGTTTTTATGTCATTTTGTATCATATTATCACATGTATAGTATCGCAGTTCATGCTTTGATTACTCAGAATCGAAATTTTATAACTTTCATCTAAAGAAAAAGTATGAATTTGTTTCCACTGAGTGGAATTCATGAGTTAACCTTCTAATATTGTATTTTTATATGTGTTCATGTATTTCTCTTACAAACAGATATATTTCTTGGGGTGTTAAAATCAATCAATCAATCTATATTTAGAATACTGATATGATAGACACTTCCTTCTAGAAAATGTCATTCATTTGCCTACTGTCCTTTCAAAAGGACAACGTTCCTTCAAAAATACTCCAGATTTCAACATTTTTTCCGGAGTGTTTTTATCGAATACTCATTTTTGAATACTGAACTAGTGTTACACGACAATAATCTTAATTTGTAATCAAATATTTTCAGACATATCAAGGTTAAAATCTTTCATATGGCTTTTTAGTAATTTTTATGACGAATTTGCTGAATATACTATCGACAGATCAGCAGCATCATGATGCTTTGAGTAACGTTTTCTCAATCCATGGTTCTATTCCAAAGTGAGTCAGTTTCGAAATAAGTTTCCTTACCTATGATATCGGTGGAAACTATATCTTCTTCGGTATATCCCAAGATCCCTTTGAGAGGTCCTGTAGATGCCTCGAGTACTGTTGCCTTGATGAGGTCGTAGTTGGCTGGTTTACACAAACGAACAGTCAGATCCACTACAGAACCTGTTGCTACTGGAACACGAAATGCCATACCTTGGAAAGAAAAGGATTCAGTAGGTTTCGGGGAGGATGTCACTAAATTTCTCAATCCATTTATGTTATTGTAGCAGGAGTCTTTGAGCCTCGCACCAAATACTTCGAATCCATGGGACAATTCCCCAGCATTTTTCATGCGGAAATACACGCCATAGAAAGATGCATCCAGTTCAACCTAGACAGGAAATACCGGAAGAAGGACATCGCGATTTTATCCGATAGCCAAGCAGCCATCAAAGCGTTGAGCTCTCCTTACATCAACTCGAAGATGGTATGGGAATGCCTAAGCAAATTGAATGAGCTAGGCAGCGACAATAAAGTGATCCTCCTCTGGGTGCGAGGGCATATTGGAATAGAGGGGAATGAACAAGCAGACACTCTGGCACGACAAGGGGCTTCAACGCCACTGATCGGACCAGAGCCATTCTGCGGCCTTGGACATTCCTATTTCCAAGGAGAACTTGAAAAGACGGAAGGAGCCTGGAGAGCCAGACAATGGAGAAGACTTCCAGGACTACGGCAGGCTTAAGATCTCCTTGGAAATTTCAACCGAGAAAGATCTAAGACACTGACAAACCTCAGCAAAGGAAGTCTCAAAGCAATAAAGGGATTTCTAACGGGGCATTGCAGACTCAAAGAACACCTAAGGAAGCTAAGCTTACAGGAGGACGGCACCTGCAGATTCGGTGAGGAAGAACCAGAAACACCCCATCACATACTGATGGAGTGTGACGCTGTACATCACAAAAGATTGAACATACTGGGAACACACCAGCTGACTGTGGAAGGAATACCACAGCTGGACCCCCTCAAAATCCTCAAATTCCTGAAGGAATTGAATCTCGAGGGGCTGCTAGATCTAATTAGGTCGCAGCGCATCTGTCACCATCCAACCTACCAATACCAATACCGTATATGTTATTGTATTGTATGCCTAAGGGGTGAATACACTTAGACCTAAAAGATCTATTATTTCACCTCATTTCACTATAGTAATTTCTATGATCCTATATCCTTTAGAAGAAAAAGATCAGGAGGAAAGGTGGTTCCATGTGCTATCACAGAACCTGCATTCGTCTTCCTCTCATAAGCCGACATTTCTAAGGTGGTTCTTTCAACAGGCAGTACCCTGTTAGAAATTCCGTTAGTATGAATATGAAGTGAATTTTTGCTTGCTGACATTTGTGTTCGATTTTTTATGGTTTTATTATGAACCTAGTGATATCTTGGCTCGTCTGAGACCTTGGAGATTTTTCTAGATATCCAATCTTTGTTCAGCTCCTTCTTTTCTGATGTCTTCTGATACAGTACTGATGCTGATCTCACAGAAGGGTTCTGGTCACACGAAGGATGTTTGAGCTCCTTTCCTAGCGATTATGTCCGCTACTTGATTTTCTTCTACTCCGTAATATATCAGACCTATGCATGAAAGCGTAACTAACTGAATTACTGTTGGCTAGCTCGTTCAGTTTTTTCCGGCAATCTCATGCTATTTGAGAGCTGAAGAACTTCTTGATCATCGGATATGAAAGTGATATCAAGTCTTCCATAGCTTTTCAAGATTGAACTGAACACTTTTCTCTATATCGTCAACTTCTGCCTGGAATATGCTTCGGAATCTACCAAAGCTTTCGATGTACTTGGTACAAGGCCCGGTGACTTCTATTCCTCTGGTTTTGGAGGTCATTATATGGGTTCGAATGATGTCCAAACGTCCATGGATCCAATATAGACCAATAGATCAATTTGACTAGCATTTTGCTTAAGTTGGGGAACAGAAGCATGATTCAAGCAGTTGGAAGATGTTTCCGATTCAATTTGGACGAGGAAGATAGCCAAGCAACCATAGTACTGAGCCTTAATTTAATCCAGATTCAAGATGGTTTGCAAATATCAGAAATTCTGGACGATCTAGCCAAAAGGAATGCTGTTAACTTCTATGGAATCCGATAAATTCAGTGGTGAAGGTCGAGGGAGATGAAATAGCAGATAACTCACCAGTTATTTCAATCATTCATTCACTCAAACAAGGATTAGCTCAAACTATGAGAATTACTAGAATAATTATATTATACCTATAAATACTATATTTTGAATGTAATGTAATACATTATGGTTTATTTTTTAATGTTCCCTGTTATAAACATATACGTCAACTGTTTTTTTGGGAATAATAAAGATGATGATGATACTAATGGGGCTCGAGCACCATTCATAGAACCATTAGGAACTGAAGCCTCCTATAGAACCTGCAGCATTTTCATATTAGACGTGATTGATAAAGACGGTATCAAGCAGAGATCGGTCTTTTGGAAGGATTCTTGAACACTTTGGAATCCTAACAGGACATTGTATTCTGAAAGAACACCTCCGAAAGCTCGGCTTATAGGAAAAAGGATGCAGGAAAGAAGAAGGTGAAACCTCTATATACATACTTACGAAGGGCGGTTTTACCATGTATTACTAAGGCGGGATTATCTAGGTTAGTACAAGATCCCTTATCACTTCGCGATCCTGAGTGCTTTTGAAAACACTGAACTATATCCCAGTTTCGAAGACGATTTGAGTGATTTATATGTCGAGTACGTGAACAGAATCTTTCAAGCAGAAAATTCATATAGTTTTGAGATGTTTCCGATTCAATTTGGACGAGCCAAGCAGCCATCATAGAACTGAACATTATTTTAATCAGATTATTAGATCATTTATCATACGTTTAGTGGTGAGGGTGATAGAATAACACATAACTCGCTAGAACTGGGGCTCAATAAAAGCGAAGAGCTGACTTTGAGCGCCGATATTTCGAAAACTATCTATCCTATCGGGCTGATCATGGTCTCATTTGATCCAGCATGTGATTTTCTACTGGGAGAGCAATAATTCTCGTGAATTTCTGCCGTTTTCTGGTACTTTCGGCCGTCCAAAGACGGCTCGGTGAATATATCGTACGGAAGTCTTAGGTGGGAAAATGAAAATTCTTATTTGGCACATTAAAAATCTAGAAATATACACATAGACTAATTCGATGTCGTAGAGAACGAATCTGTTGTGGAAATTGGGTAATTTCGAAAAATGGGGACGTAGTAGCCTACCGGAGTACTCCTATTGGTAATAAAAGCTGAAAGCTGACTTTGAGCGCCGATATCTCAAAAACGATCTGTTCTATTGGGAAGATCATAGTCTCGTTCAATTCAGCGTGTCATTTTCTACTGGAAAAGCGATAATTCGCGTGGATTTCTGCCGTTTTCTGGTACTTTCGGCCGTCCGAAGATGTCGAATATATCGTACTGATAAGCACCATTCATAATAAGACGAACCTTCCAATGGAACCTTTAGCATTTCTATGTTAGAACTGTTAGAAGTTATTGAGAAAGGAGGCATCAACTGGAAGAATTATTGAACACCTTGGACTTCTAACACGACATTAAATTCTGGCTTGGCTTGAAGAAATAAACAAGCAGAAGAAAATAAGGTGAAAGTTCCATGCACATACAGTACTTGTGAGGCCAGCTCATCTAGCTAAGGTTAGGTTCGGCTAGGTTCCATGTGAGTGGAGAGAATACCGTCATGCATAGTCAGAGAAGGCTCCTTCAATACGTATATTGAGATAATACTAATACTTTAGAAACAGGGAGAGAAAGAACACATTTGGCTTGGCTTATAGAAGGGAAGATGCAGGAAAGGGTAAGGTGGAATATCCATTAATAAAGCCGGATTATCTCAGTTAAGTTAGGTTGGGTCAGCTTCCATGTGAATAAGAAGAATATCGCGATAGCGATGCATAACAAGAGAAGGGGACTTATGCTTGCCCACGTACCTGTCAATTTTCCTTTGAGATCCGGTATCACCTTGGTCACTGCTTTGGCAGCTCCCGTGGAAGCCGGAATGATGTTCTGCAAGGCACCCCTGCCGTCCCTCCAGGACTTCTTGGCAGCGCCGTCTATGACCTTCTGGCTCAAGGTCACGGCGTGGATGGTCGTCATCAGGCCTTCGACGATGCCGAATTTCTCGTGGACCACCTTGGCCAACGGGGCCAGGCAGTTGGTGGTACAGGAGGCCATGGAGATCACCTGAACCGAATGGAGTTATGTAAATCGTTACCTCTATAAATATTAAGTCATGGAAACCATCCATCCTTCTCAAAGTGGTCCAGATTTTTTCAAAGAAAAAACAAAATACACAAAGTCGGTCGACCACAAATTATATTACACAATTACTAGTGTGACTAGTTTCGGCTAAACAGCCATCTTCAGACACAAATTGAATAAAGTACCTGTAAGAGATGGAATTACAGACGAACAATAAGTTTGCTGAAGAAAAAACATATACCTAGGCCATGTGGTGATTACAAATTCAACAAATAAAATTCAAGCGGTTATTTCAACGTAAATAATCAGTCCGGTAAGGAGGTGATTAAATTTTTATAACGGCTGAACAGCCAAAAGAACCTTATAATCATGAGGTTCAACATTGGCACGAAAAAAATTCAGATATTTAAATTCACTCAACTGAGTTTCATCTTGGATGGCTATTGAAAGACAGAAATCCAAGAATCGCCGAAGTAAGCAAATGACAGTGACAGCATGATAAGACTGAATGACAGTGACAAATTATACAAACTAAATGACATGACAAAATCATCATAAGGTATAGAAAACTATTTGGCAAAATAAACAAATTATTGCAAAGGAAACTATGGGTTAATTAACTAATCTCCTTGTAACAAAACTATGAGAAGTACGTGGTAAGGTTGAAGACCAAAAAGAAGAAGAAGAAGTGTCAAGTGTAGTAAAAGTAATTACGGCAGAAGAAGAAGAAGGACCACGGAAAGTAAACAGGTCCGGCTTAAGTACCTTAAAACGGTATATATTTCACACCTTTCCAAAATCAAATATGCATTCAAGACAATACTACAATACTATTTCTACTTGTATTGAGAATCTGTTGTATAGATAGGTGTAGAATTTTTTCGTTTCAAGAATTATTTTTTATGGAATCAATACCTTCAAGTGCATATCTATAATTCGGAGGCAATCCAAAGACGCTTTCTCAAACACTTGAGTTTTAAAGCAGATCGGACTTATCCACCATTTGGCACATCGCACAAGAGTTCACTGTCGAAACCAGGTCAAAGCATAGCTTTTTCAGCCTGGACATAAGACGAAAATGTTCTGGTGTCATTCTACACAAAATAATTAACAATAAAATCAAATGGCAATGCTTACTACATCAGATGAACTTCAGAAGTCCCGTCAGGCATGGCGATATACCGACTCATTCTACATTATATAACAATAAATTTGGTTATTTCATCGAAGATATTTACATTAAACCATCTCGATCTCTCCTTCAGATGGCTTTAACCCTTTGGGGTCCCTTTCTATGCCTATGTTTATATGAACTTTTTTTATTATTTTTGCTACTAGAATCGTCATTTTCGACCTGAACCGGTCCTGCTACGAGGCAGCAAACTTCAGATTAACTTATGGGTCCCTCGAAACATATGATCCTGTTGAGAAACCTTCTACCTCATTCATGTTTCCATCGGACTATTTTCTATATTGTGAGCTTGATAATTTTTTGAGATGCATATTTTCAGCTCAACTTTTTGTACTCTTTGTAATTCTCAACTTGTTTTGAGCCAAACTGAAATCTGAATAGTTATCAGTTACATTTCTTTGATTTATGGAAACGTTATTGACTTACAGATGATATAAATATCTACTTTATACGCGTTAGAATTCTCCTTTAGGTGAATCGAATTCAGTTCTAACAAATCGGCTTCGAAATAACTCCGCAACCTAGTCTGAAAATACAAATTTTTAAGAACATTTTCGTCATTCTGCCATTGAAACGATCAGGACTTTCGGCCAGGTTCTGTGGTTTTGTAGGATACTAGGACTCTATATTAGTTCATTATTAATGTTGAATAGTTATGTTGATATAGAAAGTTATATATAACATTATTAATAGATTGAACCTTCGTTAGGAAATCGAATAAAATATGCATCGAAGTATTCGATGATATTCTTTTGATATTCCTATATTTTGAGATTTTCTCGAATCCTTACCTTATATTTCGGGTCGTATTTATCCAAATTAACTCCGCACACGAACATAGGAGCGTCACTAGATGGGGCGCTGATAATAACCTTCTTTGCACCCGCTTGCAGAATAACTGATGCCTTTTCTATCGTGGTGAATTGCCCTGAACTGTCCACCACGTATTCTGCTCCAGCATCCTTCCAAGGAACCTTTTGTCCAAACAATTTCATGGTAAAAAGAATGATTAATATAATCAACAATGATTTAGAAAAAAAACAAATATTCTTCATACGCTTTTCACCAGCGTATAAGGAATCTTATACAGGGTCTCTATAAATGATCGTAACATCGTAGTGGCTGTTGACATTTTTTTTCCATTTGCCGCTTTCTACTAATGCTGTTAACAACATTTAACTACCAAAAAGAGAGGAAGTGATCATATACAGGATCTTTTTTATATCGTTTTGCATAAAATGTATCTCAAAGAAAGGAGAGTCCAATATTGGAGTTTGAAAAATAATGGAACAGTTCAAAAATATTTATTAAAGAAGTAATAAATAACGGTTTATTTCATCAACCTACATCAACTGTTCAAAATGTTCTCCGTTGTTCTCCAAGCATTTCAAAACTCTTCGCCGTTTGTTGTCGAAAATGTTCCTCAGCATTTCCGGGCCAATATTTTGGCAGCAATGTGTTATTGAGGCGTGATGCAGCTCTTCAAGGTTATTATTGTCTGTCTTGAATACTTCGTCTTTCAAATATCGAAAAAGGCAGAAATCCAAAGGCGTCAAATCTGGAGAACGTGTTGGAAAAGAAGGATTAACTCTTCGACTTATCACACGGTTGTCATCAAATTCTTGTGAATATTCTAAATTTGCACGTGTGGTGTGGGCAGTGGCCCCATCTTGCTGAAAATATTCAATTCGAATTTCTTCATCATCAAGTTGATTGATAAATGGTTCTAATATCACTTGTCTGTACCTTTTACCATTGATAGTGCCATCGAAGAAAATCGGTCTATATATTCGCCTACGAGAAACTGCTAACCATACCCCAATTTTTTGAGAATGTAGTGGAGACTCAATGAAATTGTGGGGATTATCAAATCTCTAAAACCTAAAATTTTGTGAGTTCACGTATCCCGACAAATGATCGCTGAAAAATGTTAGGTCCAATAGCTGGTCATCGTTGAGATTATTTTGGAACCGTTGGCAGTACTCCAGACGACATGGAATATCTATTGGCAGAAGTTGCTGTAGTACACTGGTCTTGTAAGGGTGCACATGCAATCTTTTCTTGAACACTTTATGGCATGTACTTAGTGTTACACCAGATTGTGAAGATAATTTCTTCAATGACGTTTGGTGATTTTGCTCAACACGCGCCCTTAGATTTTCGACAACTTCTTCCGATATTTGGGGCCTTCCTGTTGATTTCTTTTTATTAACGTTTCCAGTTTGGATGAATCTGTTGATCACTGTTCTGATGTGGGCTTACCAAAAAGATTCTTGAATCTGTACATTAGGATATTTCGCCAGGTACTCATCCTTGCAGGCTACTACCGAGTAACTCCATCCACCATTGATGAATGTGCCATTTCGACAATAAGACATTACAATAAATGTATTCTGCTCAGAGGAATAAACCATCCCTCTTTTCATTACGACAATCACGAAGTAGAAAACAGAATCGTTTGAAAATGTTAACGAAACCTGACAATTGTGAGTTTATCAGCTATGACAGTATAATGATTGATGAAAGGCGGCAAATGGAGAGAATATTTCAACGACTACTACGATGTTACGATCATTTATAGAAACCCTGTAATATGAAATTGTACTTTTTTTCTATTTCCTGAAGTGCAAGTGCACTATAGGAAATCGTCTTGTGATGAGGTAAATACTGATATTTTTCTGTAAATTTTGAAGATTATAAGTTCTTGTACTTCACATGTGGAGTTTTCCAAAGCTCTGTCGTTCCATAGAGAAACGAGTTTTGGTAAAGAGTAATCTCACATATCTCTAGAAGTTGATGACAGAAAGTTTTTATGACTGGGCTTGTCGAGTACGTCTGACTGGTATTACTAGTAATGGAATTATAGCAGAGATTCCTGAAGAACACTCCCCGTGGAAGTAGCAAATGAAAAGTGAAAGGTCGCCAACTTTTCCACGGTGTTCCAATGATGTCAAAGGACGAGTGAGTGTGGCATCACCCACCAGGCGAATAGCTTGTCTCTAGATGTTTGGGTGCTGAATTAGTATTCCAAAATAGGCCGTATCGGTGCTTTGTATATCATAAGAAGCTGTTGAGGTGTAATGTAGCTTCTCGCACTGAATCATCAAGCAGCTGTCGCGATGGATCTGACGTGATTTTTCATGAAAGAGTATTAATTAATTATAGATTGTTGATTAGGCATACTGGATTAAGGATGAAGGATAAAAGTGAAAGGAATTTTTTATCTAATAACTGCATTCTTAATTCTCTACGATTATCAGATAAAAAATGTCTTCCACTTTCATGATTATGTAATTTCTTATTAGGCTGATGATGCGTATGTCCGAAAACAAGTTCCCTTGATGTGATTATTCACAATACCAGTGAGTTTTCAAAATAAATTGTCGTGGAGATGACTATGTGCATTATTCATTATTATTCACTAAATATTGATAAATCACAAGCAAATTATATTTCTAGTTGCCTTGAAGTACATTGTGATATATAATTTTTGTTTATGTTCTGGTACCAACGAAAAGGGATATCCTGTAATGTTCAGAGAACATCGTGAGAACCAAGGAAAATAAGGTAGAAATTGGTGTTCTTCTTAAATTTCTGGGGGTTATATGCCTCAGGGAACACCTCCCTTGGCAATGTGTTCCAGAGCCTCGCTGTTCGTTGGATGAATGAGTCTTTGGAAAGAGATGTCTCCAAGGGAGGAACAATTATTGATATTTCAGAAGAGCGTCGTCTTTGAAAATATCTATAAAATAGAGCCAGATCGCCAACTTTTCTACGGTGTTCCAGAGGAGTGAGTGGGTTTGTTAGCGAGGCATCACCCACGAGACGAATTACCCATTTTTGGACAGAATCCAACAGTTTCAGGGTATGTTTGGGTGCTGCACTTCAAATATGGGAACAGTATTCCAGGAAAAGTCGGATCTGTGCCTTATAGATCATGAGCAGCTGACTGGAAGTGAAATAGCTCCTGGCCCGAAACAGAAAATCCAAGTTTTTGGGATGCACTTTTAGCAATTGATCTCACGGGATTTTCTCAAGAAAGGTTATTGCTGATAGTAATACCAAGCATCGAAATGGATGTCTTCAAAGGTATGGTTACTCCTGACAAGCTTATGTTGGGCACAGTGAGATCGGCTTTTCAAGAGAAAAGGCATGCTTGTGTTTTGTTTGCATGGAAATCTACCAAGTTATTGGATCCCCATTCGAGAATTGTTGCCAAGTCCATATTTATGTTGTCAACATTTCACATTTCTCCCTCGTTCGTTTCTGATTTGACTGGCTGGTATTGGAGCCCTGGAAGGGAAGGCGGTATGGAGGGTACTATCATCCGCGAAGCAGTGAATTGGACATGAAATTGCTTCCAATAAATCGTTGATATGGAGTAGAAATAGTGTTGGTGCTAGAATTGATCCTTGCGGAACACCAGCATTTATGATGAAAAAAGAAGGGCAAATAGCTCAATGAATAATGGATTGTTCACAATTTCATTACGAAATTCGTGTTTTTCAGACAAAAATACGTGAGTAAGAAAGAAAAATTTCGGAGAAAAACCCATCGCATAATAAGTGCAAAATAACCTAATATACCTAACCGGTGAACATTGTGAACACAAACATCCATGGTATTCTGGGATGTCGCATCCATGTCTGAATCATAAGTTACACTTTCTGAATCACAATTAAAAAAGGTGTTTTGCGATGCATGACATGGATGTGATGCCCTCTGATTTATCTGTGTTAACTGGGTACCTTTTTCGGATCGGTCTCGTGGAAAACCCTGATTTTCTTCTCGCCGACGATAAGATGTTTCTCGTCGTTGCAAACTTTCCCCCCGAACCTGCCATGAGTTGAGTCGTGCTTGAAGAGATAAGCCAAGTACTTTGGGGTACCTGATGGATCATTGATCGCCAGTACTTCAGCGTCATGCTCCAAGGCTGCCCTTAGGAAAATCCTGCCGATACGTCCGAAGCCATTTATGCCGATATGGGTCATGGGTATCGGTTTTGCTTTGACTGAGATGCTTCTGACACCTTATATGCTTTGACACTGACGAGACGCATGTTACATTTTATGACGCATGCGCATACAGGGTGATTCTTGACAAGGGTGCATCAGAAAAGAGCGCAGATCGATAATGGCTTGATATTTATATAAAGTGTGACCCATTTTTGATGGAAACACCCCTGTATCTTACGTAATAGTTTTTTTTTTTTTTTTATCGCTTGGAGCGCACGAAAGGGAATCCCTATTATGTTCAAAGAACATCGTGCGTTCCTAGGGAGGATAGGGACAGGAGGTAGGTATTGGAATTTTTTTTGAACTTTTGGAGATTATATGTTGTTGGGAATACTTCCACAGGCAATGAATTCCAGAGCCTAGCCGTTCTATGGATGAAGGAGTCTTGATAAAGTGCTGTTCGACATCTTTCGAGGTTGACAACGAAAGGATGTGCTGACTGGGCTTGTCTAGTTCGTCTGATTGGTATTGCTAGTGAAGGGATGATAGCAGAGATTTCCGAAGAACATTTCCCGTGGAAGTATCGATAGGAAAGTGAAAGGTCGCCGACCTTTCTACGGTGTTCCAATGATGTCAAAGAGTGAGTGAGTGTGGCGTCACCCACCAGGCGAATGGCTCTTCTCTGGATGGAATCTAAGAGCATCAGCGTATGTTTTGGTGCTGAACCCCATATGTGGGAACAGTATTCTAGAACAGGCCGTATCTGCGCTTTGTAGATCATGAGAAGCTGTTGAGGTGTAAAGTAGCTTTTCGCACGGACCAAGAATCCGAGTTTTTGTGAAGCAGCTTTTGCGATGGATCTGACATGATTATCCCATGAAAGAGTGTTGCTGATGGAAATACCGAGCATAGATATGGTGGGCTTGGTGGGGATGGTGGAGCCAGACATTACAATATCGGGCATACTGAGTTCCGCCTTTCTAGAGAAAATGCAGGCTTGAGTTTTGGTGGCGTTGAATTCCACTAGGTTGTTTGTTCCCCAGGCTGTGATTTCAGCAAGATCTTCATTGACAGCATTGACCTGCCTGCGCCGTGAGTTCTTAGTTTCCTGGGAAGAAATGGGAATTCTGGAAGAGAACGCAGTGTGGAGGGTACTATCATCTGCAAAGCTGTGGATGGGGCAAGTTGTTACTCCCAACAGATCATTGATATGAAGCAGGAATAATGTTGGTGCCAAAATTGATCCTTGTGGAACGCCGGAATTGATGCCAAAGGTATCAGACGATACACCGTCCACCACCACGTGAAGCGATCTGCCTGAAAGAAAACTCGATAAGAGATGGCATAGCTGAGGTGGTAAGCCGTATGATGGTAGTTTGTGGAGGAGTCCTTCGTGCCAAACACGGTCGAATGCTTTCGAAATGTCCAACGCGACAGCTAGAGATTCCCCGTGTTTTTCTATTGAAGATTGCCATAAATGGGTGACGTAGGCAAGTAGATCTCCAGTAGATCTTCGATGGCGAAAGCCGTATTGTCTATCATTGATGATTCCTGAGCTCTCCAGATATTTGATAAGCTCAATATTGATGGCTTTCTCCATCACTCAGTTGGGTAAGGATCCTGGAATTTGCTGGAGCGAGAGACATGAAAAATCATATTAGGAGTCAAAATAGGTTGTAAATCATTTCTGATTCGGAATCAAGACGCTCAATTCACTAGCTATTCATATTTTTCCTGAAAAATTTTCAGTTCTGAAAAATTAAATTTTGTCGTACAATTTACGGAAGCACCCCCGTATCTTACGTAATTATTGAGGTAGGGTTCTGAAATTTACAGGAGGAAGGGATAGTCCAACGATAAAGTCAAATACGTGATTTCAAACAACCATTTGAATATACAGGGTGATTTCAAAAGATTTGTACAAAACGATTTCACATCAGAATTATGAGGCTAAGATATGAGGATCTAACCCAATTCATCTCAGTCTAAGAGTTGAAAGGAAAAGCAATTCAGGTAAAATTCAACCTCAGTTCTGATAAGTCATTTTTTTTTCGTTTGAAAATACTTTAATGATTGGTGTAACAATTGTAACATTAGACGTTTGCAGATCTGAATTTGTGATATTTCGAAGGAATCTATAAATGAAACAAACAATAAAAGTAGAGGTACTATTGTATTATTTCATCAAGTCACTTGACATTAAGTTGTATAATTATTGTTTCACTGAATTATTTTGGTATAAACAGTGAATGCCTTGTGTGGTGGTGGTGGTTTGAATACAACTTCACCATTCACTTCATAATCCGCGTAGTCCATGGAATAAATAAGTTCGAAACCAAGAGATTTCAGTGCTCGGGCTGTGAAGTGACTTGAACAATCGACCACCATGAAACCGCATCCATGTTGCTTTCCCAACTCCCTGAGAACAAAGATAAAAAAATTAATACGTGGCATTGAATCAACCGATAAAATCACATATAGGCTGAGAAACAACTGTATGTCCTCAAGTAAAGCGGTCCTTTGAAAGTAAAAAGAAAATGAGATGACTGGTCACTTCTCAGTTTTCAAACTTATAGACATGAATATTTTGAAGGAAATACTTTTTGCTCTCGGTAATAAGAATAATCCGGAGAAATCAAATGTGAATTTCTTAAAAAACTTGTTCAATGCTATCAATTCTCCTCTTATCAACCTCATAAACTGTTCTCTTCAACAAGGTATAGTACCCTCTGATTCGAAAATATCCACAACAATCCCAATACTGAAAGCAGAATTCAAACAGAGCATGTGACCTTCGTCTCATCAATATGTTGAGTACAATTGACAAAATATTAGAAGAACATGTTTATATTCAATCAATAGAATAATACATTGACCCGAATCATATTCTAAATGACAATCAGTCTGGTTTCAGGAAAAAACACAGTTGTGAAACAGCAATTCAGTACGTGATCGATGATTGGAAGGATTTTTTGGATTGCAACTATGCCGTACTAGCAGTTTTTCTTGATTCACAAAGAGCTTTTGAAACAATTGATTGGAAAATTTCAATTGAAAAACTGAAGAAAATTGGGTTGATTGATTCATTCCATCTGTTACATAAATAGACAAGAATGTGTGGTTCCTGTGAGTCTTTTGGTTGTTAGGTAGCCTCACAAACTGATCTACATATCAGGTCTCAAATCCAATGAAATGTGACGAATATTACAAATGTATTGTAAAATAAAGAGTCCCCTGGCAATACCAATGATGTTTTCTTGCAATTCGCATTGTTACCTATAGCGAGACACGAATGCGACATCTCAGGGATGTTTGTGTTTACGGTCGAAATTTGCACCCAGCTCTTGGACTACTATAGAAATGCGCCCCACATATTGGGAATACTCTGTATATTATCTCTCATGAAAGGTAATACTTCTGTACCTCCTGTGGAAGTGAATTGACAGCTTTGTGTCCTGAAATGAAGGAGCAATCATCTATTTTCGATTCAGTGACTAGGTAAAAGTGCTGACCGTAATTTATTGTACAAATTTGTGTACCTACCAACTTTTTTCCAGGAGTTTTTTTGCTACCCCATTTCCTCTGTAAGTTTGATCGACAGAAAGCATAGCAGCACTGAGAGCTCTCACACATCCAGCGTGTTTTCCAAACGCGTCGGCTCCCTTACTAACGAATCCGAGGAGGTTCACCATTTTCATTAACTTATCGTCAATCCATGATGGCGGAGGTTTTGATAGCTTGTCTCTTTCAAGAATGGTATTTATGCAAACGCCGATTAGCTTGTCATTGTACACTGCCATAAGAGGAGGTAAATCGTCTATTAAAGCACTCGTGTATGCTTCCAGGTTCTCGTTAATCGGGTTTTCATCGGTTAACACTTTTAGGTAACAGCTCAGAGGGGCATCTTGGAAGTAAAATGTTCGCAGGAACCGCAGTATTTGTTCTTTATCGTCAGTAGTGGCTGTTTTGATCTCGAATTCTAGTTGCTCTAAGGGCATGATGTCATGAGCACCTTTACTGTCACTCAACTCAATACAAAACTAAAGAAACGAGTATGAAAACAATTAAGTGGTGTATATTAGTCGATAATAATATTTGTTTAAGATTGTTCAGCCAGTGCTGGGCGAGGACATCATTATAGACCAGACAATAACGATTTACCAAACCAGTTTTCTCGTACAGGTCCTATTTGAAAAAGTTCCGTCTTTTTTCATTGTCGAAAGGTGGCCGAAATGCAAATTAAAATGAAATATACCAAAAAACCGGAAGTTTTAATTTTCCTCGTGGTTTCATCATTTCTCAACCGAATTCGAATTTCTTGGCGTCGTTTCATAGCTAAAGGGCTATAGTATACAGTGGAATATTCGAAAATTTCATAATGGGCAAAAACAAAATGGCGGATTCTACCAAAGTATCGTCATTTACAAAAACCGCTGGAGAAAAAGAAAATCTGATTTTTTTCAACCTGTACCGATGTCATCTTTGGCTATTCATTTCTGAAGAGAATGAGTACTCGAACATTGAAATCGAACAAATAGTCCAGTAGATACACTCATTTCTTTGCAATTTGTTATGGAGTGAATGTGCGTTGAAAATGCAATGCTTCAGTTAGTAATAGCCCGGTCGATACAGAGCTGACTCAGTTCCGTAGTTGAAGCAAAAGGGAGACACATTCAGGTCATTTCAAAATTCGTTTTGTTTTGACTACAACTAGTATAAAGTTTTATATATTTTCAGGGTTTCACGCAATCTTCCTGGACTTACATCTCGATGTCAATATCAACATTTTTCTATTCGCTAGCGGTTTTTGTAAATCACGAAAGTTAGGGTTACTCCACCATATTGTTTTTTTTTCAATTATGAAATTTTCAGATGTCCCACTGTGTACTACAGCTATTCAGCTCTGGAATGGCATTGAGAAATCCAAATTCGATTGAATTCGATGAAGCCAGAAGCAAACTAAAAGTAATTCTTATCACGGGATTGGCACATTCACTCCATAACACTTTGCCAAAAAGAACGTGTTTCTCCTGGACTAATGGTTCGATTCAGATGTTCGAGTGCTCATTCTTTTTAGAAATCAATGATCTAAAATTGTATCGAACCTGATTGGGAGAACAAACATTTTTTTATTCGCCAGAGATTTTTGAAAATCACAAGAATTCTGGATTCTCCACCATTTTGTTTCTTTCGAGATTAGCACACTCACTCCATAACAAATTGCAAAGGAATGCGTGTATCTACTGGACTATTTGTTCGATTTCTATGTTCAAGTACTCATTCTCTTCAGAAATGAATAGCCTAAGATGGCATCGGTACAGGTTGGAAAAAATTTGATTTTCTTTTTCTCCAGCGGTTTTTGTAAATGACAATACTTTGGTAGAATCCGCCATTTTGTTTTTGTTCATTATGAAATGTTCAAATATTCCACTGTATACTGCAGCCCTTTAGCTATGAAACAACGCCAAGAAATTCGAATTCTGTTGAGAAATGATGAAACCACGAGAAAAATAAAAACTTCCGGTTTTTTTGTGACCACCCGATATATTGTTGCGAACCTTCCAACCAATTAATAGTATTATAAAACTAGTAATCGATTGAATTTAACTGTCAGTGGATCATTCAATACATTATAACGTATCGCCAAACCATCCATTCTCTCACAATCAATGTCGAAAGTCTTTAGCAAATATTCTCGTACTCATACTTTTCGATTCTCATGCATACCAAAACTTTTATATCGGTAATGTCATTATTGATAAATCCAAGTATAAAATGGAATGAGTTGATGAGTTGTTACGGTGTAATTATGCTTTCTGCTAACTCTGTATAACTGATACCATTAGGTAGGTATAAGAACTGAAAGTCTAATCTAATACGAGGTGAACTGTAACAACTCCTTTTTTATTGTGTCAAACGTTGAGATACAAGGAAAACTGACTTGAATAAATGGATATACCAAGAAATCTCCTAATCTCATTTAGGCCAATTTATTTATTGACCCCGTCTTCATATTACACGATAAGATAACATTGGACATATACATTGATGAATACATTACAGAAATAGTCGATCAAAACAATCAAGTATGATCTGACATGGATATCGTTAAAATGCACAATAATTATTGGTTTTTATTGTCGTGTTTTTGTTTAGTTTTGATTTTTGGAAAATCCACTGCCGTAAGTACCCATACTAATGTTATTAGTGTCTGGACCACTCAATATACCCATAAAAAAGCAATTCGGAAAATTATGGACAAACAAATTATGCAGGTAGGTACCTATAATAGGTACCAGATGATTTTCCATAGGTACTCACCCAAGTTTGTTCAATGTCGAAAAACTCTTTCTCCTTAGAGCTCTGTGTATTAGTGTTTTTTTTTTCATAAAAAATAATGATGGATTCTGAATTAGGATCAATTAAAACATACCTGTACCGATTTCCATCATCCTGAAACACTGGGTGTCCGAAATAATGGATTATTATTGTTTTGAATATGTGATCAGAAAATGTATTGTAATTCTGTCGTATTTTCGAAAAGAATAAATGGCAAATTATTATTGAGAACCACTCTGAACATATCTGAACCGATGTTTATCATTCAAATATACGATGGGCATGAGGAAAAAATAAAAAGGATAAGTAGGCAATATTTCATTTTACATTCATAAAATAATGATACGATTTTCGGACACCCTGTGTTTAATGATGATGCGGTATGTTACAAGTGATCGTGATTCATCATGATTTTTTGATTGAAAGATTATAATGATGAAAATTGGTACAGATATGTTTGAAGTAATCCTCAATGATCATTTGTCATTAGTGTTTCCCAAAAATACCACAGTATTACATTTTCGAATACCTATTCAAATAAAAAAAGATTGTTTTTTCGGGCACTCTGTGTTTTAAAATGATAAAAATCGGTACATGTATGTTTCAAGTGATCCTGATTCAGAATCCAACATTACTGTTCGTGAAAAAAATCCCTAATAGTATTTTCTGAAATATGGGTCAATGATATTGGTCTCAGTTGGCCACGATAACATTCCAAGAATAAAATCACTCCCTTGTTGAATGGACAGTTCAAATACCTATACAACAAAAGAAAATTTCGAAATCGATCAGATAATAAGACTAGTGTGTACAGCCCCTTTTCCCAAAAAAATGTTTTCTAGACATAATTGATTTGCAATGAATATTGAATAGTGACATACCTACCTTCCATAACATACTGGATAGCTTTCTTCCTAATTCAAAAATAGCTTTAATAATTTTTTTCAGGTATTAGTTACTGATCAGGAATCGCCAAAAGGTTTGTATTCGTCAGGTATCAAAACATCAGATTGGAGAAAAACTGTTAGTAATCCCACTACTCATCAGAACTATAGTAAAGTTGTCGTTCACAACAAGCCGAATTCAGCAGGTCACTATGTTATTACGAAAACACAAGAAACACAAAAAATATACCCGGTGTACAACGCGCATTCTTATGGCGGAAGACCAGAGAACAACCAAAGGATTCTACAAAGTCAGTCCCATACAGGTAACAAATAGTAGATTGTTTTATTAGGATCAAAAGTGACACTTTGTTTGACAAGCGAGGCGTTGCGTTTAGCGAAGCCGAGCGAAAGCAAAATTTGCGAGTCGAACAAAGTCACTTTTGATCCGAATGAAACATGCTATTTTTTCTGCAACCGAAACAATTGACTCAAATAAATATGTGAAGTAACCACCAATGCCGTGCCATATGTATGCAATGCAACAACTATTGACAAATAATCCATGTGGTGAGAATATTCTACCTGCATTAACAGCAGGTTAAGTTTTCTAGGATGTTCGAATTGTAGTTTCAATATAAATACAACCACAGGGTGACATATTTGTGTGTGGACCAGATGCTCTAATGGCAAATACCGCGCCAGTGCCAGATATAGGAACAAGACGTGGAAAATGTTAGGTTAGTGAGCATATCAACAATGATAATAGTGATTATTTATTCCTCTCCATACTACACTGTGTTTGACTTGATAATCAAATGAAGCTAAACAATATCGTTGTTTGAAACAAATAAACTATTGCTTGCCGTGATTATCCAAAAACAAGTTATTCATCCCGAGAATAACGAATGAAATACAGATCAAGCAAGTATTTGAATCTTGAAGGCTTCCCTGATAAAAACGAAAATACTTAACTGAGATGTTTATAATTCCAATACTAAACTATAATAAGGTGTATTTATATCTCCAGCATGGGTATGAAATGCCAAATCTGCTGAAATCGGAAACAAATCAGGTATGCATCTCAACCCAAATAGCCAACCGTCACAATGTTGTTTATTCTTGATGACGTCCAGTAGATCCTTTTTAGTTTCTAGGAGCTAAAGTTCAACTACAGCTCCTAGGAACTAAAATTCAACTTTAGCTCCTAGGAACTAAATATGTTGCCTAGCAACATACCTATTTTTGTGTCAGTAATAGAAACGTCAATTTAAGAGCTAATTTTGGTATCAAAATGGACGACTTTTGTGTCGGTTGCAGAAAAACATTATTTAATTGTAACCGTAGTTCGTTAAAGGTAGAAGTAACATTACATAATCGTTATTCTGCTCTACTCTGAGGTCCTCTGGAAAGTGACGCCTTGTTTTCGTTTCAAATTTAGCTTTCAGAGTTTTCGATTCTATGATCCTAAAGAATAAGGTTTTATGGAATGTGCAAATATAAATATCATCATGGAAGCAAAGATTCATTCCTTACCATTTTTTTTAGGAATCATCATTGATGATATTTCCAGAAACAACAAAGCAATTTACAAGAGAAAAGTGGAATACAAATCCTTGGAGGTCTATGAAAAATGCCCTACTGGTGAAACTGGTCAATTTGTCTATGCTTTCTCTTGTAATCAGTACCTAAACTGTTGGAAAGGTAGAGGTGCTCCTCAAAATTGTGCCCCAGGTACCCTTTTCAATCCAAAAACTCTAGAATGCGACTTTCCAGATAAAGTCGAATGTGTTACAGGTAAATCAAAACACCTAATCCAATTAGACCCCCCAGTCCTATTCAGAGAACGAGATCTCATAACTATTCCCACTCAGAACGACAGATCAGTCCTGTTGGGCCAACAATTCTCTCTTCGAGTCACCTAACCTAACCTAACCTAACCTTACCTAACCTAACCTAACCTAACCTAACCTAACCTAACCTAACCTAACCTAACCTAACCTAACCTAACCTAACCTAACCTAACCTAACCTAACCTAACCTAACCTAACCTAACCGAACCGAACCTAACCTAACCTAACCTCTATCCATCCTGGATCTCCTAAGTTATAAGATCTAGTTTTTAAAAACCTCCCAACATTCACATACCTGACATGCCTTCACCTCAACTTAGAGATCGAGACGAGTCAAGCGAAACCTCATGCAATTTTCAGGACCAAGACAAAACTCTTTGGGTAACAGCATACGCGTACCGAAGTCAGTTCATCAAGCCAATTGCCCTGAAGGTTTCAGTGGGCTCATTCCGAATTATACCGATTGCTCGAAATTCATCAGCTGCAATGATGGCAACTCCATGCCAATGGACTGTCCTCCAGGAACCCTTTTCGATACTAGTCAAAATATCTGCGATCACCCCAACAAATGCACGTGCTTTGATGGCAAGTCTGGCACTGAAGTCAGAGTCCAGAATAGTCAAGAGAGTCAGTACACTGAAGGTTTGTATTATAACACGGATTGCAGGTTTTGTTGTCAATGAACATTGATTTTTTAGGTTCTTTCAGCCAAAGCTCAGGATGTGGTCAATCCGCTGGAAATTGTGGTAATCAACATCCTTCCAGTCAAAATATTGGAAGCCAAAGCCAGTTCAGACCATCTCTAGGTAACCAACAATTACACCAGTTTCAGTATGATTCTCACAGACAGAGTCCCAGTACGAATTCACAACAAAGCAGTTCAGGATTTCAGTTTTACCCAGGAACAGGATTAAATGCTCAAGGAAATAGTCAGAGCAATGTTTTTTCTGTAACTACGAATAGGACCGGTTGCAACCCGCAAAACCAAAATTGTGAGGGATTGGGCCAGGGTCAGTTGACTGTGAATCCGTCTGGAAGTCAACAATTCTATCAGACCCAGTATGGCTCTCATAGACAGGGTGTGGGTACCAATCTGCAACAGAGCGGTCCTGGATTTCCATTACCCTCAGGAAATAATCAGCAGAATATTTTCTCGGTAACTTACAATAGGACCAATTGCAATCCACAATATCAAAATTGTGGACCAAACCAGGGTCAAGGTCAATCGAATTATCCTTCTGGAACAACATCTGGTAATCAACAATTCCACCAGACTCACTACGAGTCTCACCTACACAATGGCAATACAAATCCTCAACAAATCAGTTCTGGAGCCAGGTTTAATCCAGTGTCATCTGATGTCGATAGTCAGGTTGGTTCTCAGCACCGTTGCAATCCTCAGTTTCAAAATTGTGGCTTCAGTCAAGCATCAGACCAAGGACAAACTACTATTCATACCCAATATGTCCATAGTGGAAATATTGGAGAAAATCGGTATCCATCAAGTGGCAGACCATCCACATATGGGCAAGTTTACCCAAGCGGAAATCAGGATAACTCCGACGTAAGACCATCTACATTTGAACAAGGTTCAACAATTTATGCAGGATGTAATCCTCAGACGCAGCGATGTGACCAGAATGTCGGTCAAGGCACACCCTATGTTCAAACTACTATCTACAGCTCAAATAATGACCTCGGATATGGCCAAGAGAACAGAGAAAACAGTTCTCTGGATTTGATTCGTGGACAGTCAAACCCGAACACAGGTTATGGACAAGTTCAAACCCACAGATGCAACCCTGGTGATCGACGCTGTGGAGAACGTATCCCTATTCAAGTTAACCAAAATCCTGGATACGGTCAAGCAACTGTTTACTCATATACTCCCGGAGAAAAATGCAATCCTCTGATACATAACTGTAGACCTATTCCTGTCCAAGGATCTAGTAGTCAAGATAGATATGACCAGACTAACATAATTCATGAAAATTGTAACCCTCTAAAACAAAACTGTGGACAAGGAAGTCAAGCTCAGAACAGTTTCGGATATGGACAAACTACCAGTGGAGATTGTTGTGGTCAAAGTACCACAGAGGCTAACACCCGAAGAGCTGGCGAGAATTGCAATCCAGCCACTCGAAATTGCGGTCCGAATTCTCCCAATAGTGAGGGCAACATTCAAAGTCATCACACAGGACAATTTCCTTGTGATCCACGAGTGCAATATTGTGGAGAGTCATCGCAAAATGTCGCAATCCAACAAGGATCTAGTCAAGTGAACTGTGACCTTTCCAGCCCAAACTGTGGACAAAGCTTCGATCAACAACAAACAACTCATGGTGGTGGTCAGAGCCAAACCAATTCTAATTATGAATTCAACAATGGTGGTCGAAATTACAAAAAGATTTGCAGCTTGAAGGACAGAAATTGCCAGACTCATTCCATTGTAGCCAAAGACACGAGAGATGGAGAAGAAAAATGTCCAGGCGATTTTCAAGGAATCATGAAGCATCCTTTCGACTGCAGTAAATTTTTGAATTGCGCTAATGGTCAGACTTTCATCCAAGACTGTGCTCCTGGAACGCTTTTCAATCAGAAACTGGGAAACTGCGATTTTCCCTACAATGTGGAATGCGATAACTCTGGAGGTAGGGACAATTCAGGTAGTTCAATCAGTGGGGATTGGGTTCGAGAATATGAGGAACATGTACAACAGTTTAGTCAGAATCCAGGACATGGTGAGTGGAAACTTAGGAATCAACAGTCAAATGCTGTTGTAACTTTCCTGAGGAACTCAATAATTTTATCGCTGTTTCCTTAAAAATCCCTTTTGAAGATTAATTATGTTATTTTTTTTAGGCAGTTTTCGGCCAACTACTGAAAGTCAAGACCCCCATGACAGACCTGGGTCTCAGCGAAACCAAGGGCAAAAGATCGTCACCGATATCAATATAGGTGAAATCGGGGTAGTCAGTCGGCCACCACATGCACGATCAACTGAGAGACCATCCAGAGTCGATGACGTCGACGTTTTCGATCCTAAGGAGAATTCTAAGCTTAGTTCCACTCCAAGGAGCGTTTGGCCTCCCCCTTTCCCGAAAACAAACGAAATCGATTACGAGTTCGACTATGAAGATGGCGAACCTGTTACTTTAGAGCCTGAAGATGTTTTCTACGCGGAAGAAAAGAAGAGTCCTGTATGCGAAGAGGATGATTTTCATTGTTCTTCCGAATTGTGTATCACACAAACCATGGTTTGTGATGGCCACAGAGTGAGTAATGAACCTCCACAAAACCTCAGTACTAGTTGACTACCAAATCTATTGAAAGCGGAAGGTTCAAAATTGCAAACAAAACACAAGCATGCCTTTTCTCTAGAAAAGCCCATCTCACTGTGCCCAACATAAGCTTGTCAGGAGTAACCATACCTTTGAAGACATTAATTTCGATGCTTGCTGTTACTATCAGCAATAACCTTTCTTGGAAAAATCCCGTGAGATCAATTGCTAAAAGTGCATCCCAAAAACTTGGTTTTCTGTTTCGGTTTCTCCCTTCCAGTCAGCTGCTTATGATCTACAAGGCACAGATCCGACCTGTCCTGGAATACTACTTCCATATTTGGGGTGCAGCACCCAAACATACCATGAAACTGTTGGATTCTGTCCAAAAAAGGGCAATTCGTCTTGTGGGTGATGCCTCGCTCACAAACTCACTCATTTCTCTGGAACACCGTAGAAAAGTTGGCGATCTGGCTCTATTTCATAGATATTTTCATGGACGATGCTCTTCTGAAATATCAACAATTCTACCTCCCTTGGCAGTCCACGCGAGATTAACCCGTCGAGTTGAGGCTTCGCACCCCTTCGTGGTCACTTTGGAGACCTGCAGAACATCTCTTTCCAAAGACTCTTTCATCCAACGAACAGCGAGGCTCTGGAACACATTGCCAAGGGAGGTGTTTCTACCTTATTTCCCTTGGTTCTCACATTACAGGATATCCTTTTTCGTGTGAACCAATCAAGATCAGAGGGTCATGTCCTCCACGGTCTTACCTAATTTGGTTGAGTGAATATTGATATACTTACTCGGCTGATAATAGCTCACATTTCGATGAGGAGTTCAAGATTTCAGTCAAGAGTATCCTCAGAATAGACTGTCCCGGAACATTCATATTCAATATGTGTTAGTTCTGAAAATACAATAATCCATATCCATTGTAGCTTGCATGTTTCTTATGAAAATTCCTTGAGTAGCTTGCATAATCAATGATAAACTTAATCAGTAACAATGAGAACTCACTAAGATTGAAGTGACTAAAATACTCAATGTTCTACTCATGACAATACTACTCAATCCGTTTTTTATGTTCTCAGGACTGTCCTGATGGTAAAGATGAACTGCTCTGTGAAGAATATATTTCAAGATTCTCCGTACACAAAAATTCCCAATTGGTAGTGATGGAAAAACAAAGATGGATTAACGCCAGTTATGCTACTTGCGCAATGCTCTGTATACAAAACACCAAATTCACTTGTAGATCCTTCAACTATAGGTACCTATGGTATACTGTGTCTTTCAGAATGTTGTATCATATGGAAAATTATTTTGATAATAATGCATTCTGAAATGTGACTTTGGTGTCAAGTTTTACTTAAAACAACAAGAAAATCACACTTATGTGGGTTCCAGGGCATGAAGGAATCAAAGGAAATAAGGCAGCTGATCGCCATGCAAAAAAAGATGTAGAATCTGCACTTTTTGGTCCTTGGACTTTTTGTGCGATAAGCAAATGTCACCTAAAAGAAGAACTCAGGAAATGGAAAGAAATTGAAAAGTCCTCCTACTGGAGAGCAACTCCAGGTCAACGACAAGCGAGAAGGTTCATCAACCATTCGCAGAACCGAGCCAAAGAGCTACTCAGCCTCAGCAAACCAGAGCTAAAGCTTATCACAGGCTTTCTCACAGGACACGGCCCTCTGAGGTACCACCTCAAAAAGATGGGCCTGGCGGAGACTGACACTTGCCGCTTTTGTAACAATGCGACCGAAACCGCGGAACACATACTTTGCTCATGTGAAGTATTAGTTCGCCAAAGGCTGAACCACCTAGAACAGGTCTATCTCACCCCTGCTGAGGTGGAAAATTCAACCGTCAGGAAAATTGTAGGCTTCATCAGAAGTCTAGGGTTAGAGAACCAAAACTAGATAGGGGTAATCACAATAGATCTTCTAGGTCGCAGTGATCGAGAGGTCTCCCAGCCTATACGACCCATCTACAATCAACAATCTACAATCTACTTAAAAAAAAAGAAGATGACCTCCTCGGTCGGAGTCTATCGATGACTTCCGCTACTAGTCAAAAGTTCAATTTTTTCCCCAAATCAATCGCTGGAGAAAGACTTATTTGTTTGAATTTCAATAATGTTAACTGAGGAAAGTTGTTTCATTTCACGTGTCTCTGATATTTTCCAATTCCTACGAAATTTCTGTGAAATTAAAAAACTTTGACAAAACTTTCCAAAACTTTGATATGAAAAGTAGTTTGTTGATATTTTGGTTGATGACTTTTGCATCCTCTCATCTTTTATTCCTGAAACGGTTCTAATGAATGGATGTTGCTTACAAATGCTTGACGATACATCAAATTTGCATCAAACAATATAAATCAGAAGCGGGATCATTATTTTTTTGAAAAAAGCATATTTCTCTCGAAAATTATTAGTAATTGAACGTTAGTAGCATGATAAAAATTATGGTATAGAACAGTTTTATCGAAGTTGCAATATTTACATTACAGAAATTTCGTAGAAATGAAAAAAATACAAAATCTAGAACTTGTAATAGAACGTTCAATTCTGGAACACAAGTATAAAACGTTTTGGAAATTTCAAGGAATAAGCCTATTGTCAGTAATTGATTTGAACGTTTGGATGCAAAACTTAACGCCCAGGTATAAATTCCAAATAAATTATTATCAGGAGTTTTTCCTCATGATACCAACTTTCTGGAAGACACTATACAAATTCGATGGAAAAAACAATTCAGTGTAGTGTATGATGAGACATACCAACTGCTGCATCATCAATTTTTCTTACTTGATAAATTATCGTATTCTAGAAAAATAGATCGGACTTGCTTCCTGTCAGACCAAAATATCGGTTTGACTGGAGCTCTAAGGAATTACATTCCCATGGACTATTACGAACTGAAAGCTGGGACCGTTGATTGCTCCAATCAAGAGAAATACTTCGAGTGTTATAACAGAAAATGTATAATGAAAGAACAACTGTGCGACGGGGCAGACGATTGCGGCGACAGACAAGACGAGAAAAGTTGTAAAGCTGAAGAATTTGGTTATTCCATCAAGTTAACGGGGTCCAAGGAACGGAATGAGGGAAGAGTAGAGGTCACAGGTAAATACATATACGTACAGGGTAGCTCTGGCTACCACGGGCCACAAAATACTTTGTACAGATTTCAACAAAGCTTGAATCTAACCTAAGATCCTATGTTGAAAATACTTATAATGCCGAAAAAAAAACAGAGCTACTTGTAGATACTTGATGAACATTTAAGATAAATGGCACATATAACAAGATTTATGACAGAATGCTACGTAAGTATTGCAGTTTTGAAGCTATACATATATAGATACATGAAATATGTCCACATCAAAAAATAAACTGTTATGAACGCTAAACATTCTGTGTAGGGGGGAATTTTGACAAAAATTAGTTATGCAAAATGGTTCACTGAAGAGTTGATAGTTCCTCAAGTTTCGGGAGGGAGTTCTGAAACGTACTTTTGGATACCATAGCATCTCCAGGAGAAGATTAAAACAGTTTTAATCTTCTCCTGAAAATTGGCAAAAATGCAATAAAACTGAAAGAGGTGTAAATCGATTGTGTTTGATAGCAGAAAGTTGCTGGAGATCAGGAAATATATTGTCTTGAACCAACATTCAAACCAGTCATTCCAATATTCTAGTACCTTGTATTATACATGTTCTTTCCTATACGGTTACAGTTTTGGTTGTACATGCATGTACTGCAATGATATAATCTCTGTTCTGTTAGATATTGATTATTTCGTTTCGTGTGAGTAGGTACTTCTTCAGTTGTTTTCGTCAATGACCCAATTATGATTCTTCTCGAGATCTTTTCCTGGCACTATCCAATGCCTACTGCTAGTAGTCTTCTTGCAAGGATATGTCACTGTCTCTATAAATATAAAGAACTTCACAAACGATAAGAGTTTCCACAATTTCAACACTCTCCCGAAGCAGCCGTTATACCAAGAGATATAGATGACAATTTGGTTTGCTTCCTGCCAACGAATCAACCTGGTTCACGGATGGCTCAAGGTTTGGTGGCGGGTCTGGTGCAGGAGTATATGAAGGAGGAACAGGGAAAGGAATCTCAGTACCTCTTGGCAAATACGCTTCAGTGTTCCAGGCCGAAGTGTTTGCAATTCTGACGTGTGTCCAAGAAAATTTCGGCAGAAGTGGACGTGGACCAGTCACCATATGCTCGGACAGCAAAGCTGCTATTATGGCATTGAGATCCAATAGGATCACAACTAAATTGGTGTCCGAGTGTAGAAGTGCCTTAGAAAATATGGCAAAAACTAGGAAAGTCAGCCTCATGTGGGTTCCAGGACACTCTGGTATCCCGGGGAACGAGGAGGCAGACAGACTAGCCAAGATCTGTTCAGGAACGACACCCATTGGATCAGAACCGATATTGGGAATACCCAATAGTACGGCTATGTCCTTCATGAAGGAATTGCTACAGAGGCAGCTCCTTGAAACATGGCGGAACACACCAGGAATGAGACAATCAAAGCTCCATATAAAGGAACCTTCAAAAAGGTTCACGAGGGAGATCCTGTCACTTGATAGAAGGGATCTCAAGATGGTAGTTGGGCTCTTAACTGGGCACAACCACCTCAGCAGGCACCTAGAACTCATAGGCATCAAAGATGATCCCATCTGCAGATGGTGCTTGGAGGATGATGAAACATCATCACACATACTCACTGATTGCCCCGCGCTGGTGCATCAGAGGAAAGCTGCCTTTGGGAGCATTGTACTGCACCTAAAGGACGTGAAAGTGACTCAGCTGAGGAAGCTGCTGAATTTCGTCAAAGAAATCGGCATGCCCAGCTGATTCACAGGACAAGTGGGCGCACAATGGACCCGCACCCGCCCACCTGTGCAGACAAGAAGATGACAATTCTTTTTTTTGCTAGGATATAAGACATACGTAGGCTACGATCCAATATACCAAATATCATTCAAAGGTGACCTAACATGTTGTGGTTCTTTATATTAACACTTCTTATCAGTAAAATCAGAAGTGACATACTCTTTTGAGTTCTATGAGACAAAAACACACATATCAACAGACTAGTAGATCTTCTAATCGAGATAACCACCTGAAAATATCCTACTTGCAATACTTTTTGATGTTGAGGTAACCTCAAAAATCACGTGACGGTTGGCACACTAGCTCTGGAAGCTGCTATCGAATCCAAAACAAAATCAGAAAATTTTAGTGAGGCGTAATATACTGTACCAAAACCTTTTTTAGCATTTGGAAGGAGCGGATATATTTGCGATGACAAATTCGGAATAGTAGATGCCAACGTGGTTTGCAGAGAGCTAGGTTTCGTCTTGGGTGCAGCCGAAGTCAAAGGTCAATCTCACTTTGCCAAAGATCTCAAAGAGAAAGACACCCAGTACATGATGGACGAGATAGAATGTGTGGGGAATGAAACTAGTTTACTAGACTGTGGGTTCGCTGGTTGGGGCATTCATGATTGTACAGATCAAGAGGTATGAATCAGATATCTAGATATGCCGATTATATAATAACAATGAAATTCAGGACCGAAGTTAATACATCAAATTATTGAAAAGGAATATTCTCAGATATATTTATGAGCACAAAAAATTGAGAATTCGCATTCTCCATGTGATGAAAATATTGCTTTCTCGGTTTATTCAACAGAAAACAACTACTTTCCTGGCTATATGCCACGACGAACATTGAATTACATCTATTGAACACACACGATAAGAATTTGGAAACAAAATCATCTGTAGTAAGTAATTGTGAAAGTTGGAAACATTTCAGTTAGTAAAACTCAATAGCTACCGCTACGGCAGCATCTGTTTTCATTTAGAAAATTCAAAACTTTACTCCTCCAATTGGCCAATATTTTTTCAAGTTCAGAAGGAAGTATAGACTTGATGTGTAACAGCCCCTTCATTCATTGGGTGAATTTTCAGTTTTTTATTTTCCATTTCTTTTTTTTATAGATTGTAGGCGTGGTATGCAAAACGCCGCAAGAAAATTGTGGAAAAGGCTACTGGAAATGTGACACCGGTAGCGAATGTGTATCCTATGATTTTGTGTGCGATGGAGTTAATGACTGTAGTGATGATTCAGATGAACGAGATAATTATTGTGAGGTAATGATTCCGTTCTAGGACTATTCAGAGTACTCTGCAACTCCTACACAAATATGTCAGAATCGGATATCGATAATTAACCATCACCTTATAAGTTGCAGTAATTCGAAATATTGTAATTGTAACGAATTCACGTCATCAAGTTGTGAGTCTCAAGATTTAAAATTACTGCAAGATGCACAATGTAGAATTAATGGAATTTATGAGTTGAAGTAATTCGATTTCATTTTTAAATTTCTGGTGACCCCTCTAAGTCGTATTGGATTTTTTTTAATCTTTGAGATTTAAATTTCTTGGGAATACTTCCTTAGGCAATGAATTCCAGAGGGTTGCCGTTCTACAAGGTGTCCCAGAACAACGTACCATAAATTCTACAGAGTGGACTAGACACCAAAGTAAACTGATTCAAATCAACTTATCTCTATAAGAAAATGCACTGTTGAGCCTGAGGGGACAGATTCTCCGGGATATTTCAAAATGCTTGAAAGGGTCCGCTTTAAAATTCATAGGGCAATTTACTATGTGCATAAAAACCATGTTATACCAATTCAATGATCAATATACAGAGAGATAGATACTTCACATTCTTTGGTAAAAACTGATGTAACTTTTTTGGAGTACGCTCACTGACTATATTTCGATATTTCAATGAATGATTGAATCAATTATCTAACTTTTTTCTGATTGCCGTTTTTTTATTCTTCTTAGTTTTCGATACATCTAACAAAATTCATTTTGGTGCTACACCATACTTGTTTATAATGTTAGAATTAACTATCATATTTTGCAAATTTCTACCTCATTTCTGTTGAGTTATTGACCTCAATATCCATGATAACAATTTCGCGAGCTAATCATTAGATGATCTGGGAGCTGGTCGTTTCCAAATTTCATTCTTTTTTCTCGAAAAAAACTTGTTTCGAGACTGAAAAATGGATTTGATGTGAAGAAAGTAAGATAATTGATTTTGTCTTCCATCGAAATATCAAAATGTGGTCAGCAGCTTACTCCAAAAAAGTGATATCAGTTTTCATCAAAGATAATGTGAGATATCTATCTCCCTGTATATTGATCAAATTGGTATGACATGGTCTTCATGCACATTTATGATAGTAAAATGTCCTATGAATCTTAGAGCAGTACCTTCCATCAAGGATTTTGAAATATCCAGGAAAATGTGTAAATAAAATTATTCTTCCATAGAAGGGACAAGTGCTGATAGGACGCAATTTTGTGTAATGATGGGATTTTTAGGGATTAGTCCTCTCCTATAATAATTAATGAATCAGTATTGTGTTATTACTGTTCAAAGGCTCCCACAGATATACGTTTAGTAAATGGTTCGAATTCTGCTGAAGGCCGTCTGGAAATCAAACACCATGGTATATGGGGCACTGTATGTGATGATGATTTCAACGAAGATGCTGCCAAAGTTGTTTGCAGACATTTTGGGTACAAAGGAATGGTCGTAGTCAAGAAAGATGGATATTTCGGTGCAGGTAAATAAGGCGAAAAAGTCAATTGGCTTCATTTAATTCAACCAATGTATGTTGTGTTTATGAGAGAAAGTACAGAAAATATTGAAAGGTTGACTAAATTTGGTATTTTTCCAAAAGTGCAAAAATCGTGTACCAATATATATACCGCGAGACTAAAGAGATAATGATGAATTCCACTCGCGGCATGTTTAACTTTAGTCCTGTGGTTTATAATATACTGTTCGGTGAACGCCAAATCATTGGAGTACGGTCCTTATTGCTTCCCGCTTCAAGTAGATGAGTCGATAATTAAGTAATTGGTTTCCTGGACTTCGAAGAATCGACAAAGGAAACTAGTTTCTTTGATTCCTGAATCGGGAGTTTTCCAGTCATGGCAATCAATGCCAGAAGATTTCTCCACATAACACAAAAGGAATGATAGATATAGCCGAAGACAAAAGACAACTGGAAGTACCAATTTATATTGTCGCCAGTGAGTTTCATTCATTTACACGTACTTTGTATATTCCAACTGGCTATCGATCTTACAAGAGTCCCTTCAGAATCCAGCATGTGTGTGTGTTACTTGTAAGCTATATTATACTTGACTCCACATGCCACCTCAGTACCGCAACTGATGAAAATCTGAACTTAACAGCTAAAATGTCCCTTGGCTCGTCTCATCTTCTTCTCTTATCTCAAGGATTTCTTGATAGTAGGAGCCCCCCAAGCTTCAGTTTTTACAGAAATTTGAGGAGATCTTTTGTGATATTTTTGTTTCGTTCTAAATTTGTTCTATCCGTCACTTGATTGTGAATGACGGGAGCCATACCTCTCAACGTGTAATCTTAAACACTTTCTTAAGCCATCACAGAAATTTCTGCAATCATGGATTTGAACCCACGATTGGCAAGCGAACGCGATAGAATATTAACGCTTCCATCTAAAACCTGGCCTACTTAAGCATAGGGCTCCAGCAAGATGTGGTTGAAAGTTCCTGGATGTTCCCGCAGAATCTGCGAGTGCTGTCTTCCTCCAAGCCTCCAAGATGTTCTTTGAATCTGCAATGCCCGTTAGAAATTCCGTTACTGCCTTCACACCTGATTTATAGATACCATAACGCATCCCACAACGTTCCGCAATCTGTACCGTAAGACGATGAAATATCAGAATGATTTTGTTGAAGTTGATCGGTGTGTTCGATCATGCTCATTTGAAGTTGCCAAGGAGATCTTTGATGGCCTGTTGCTTCTTCAGCTTTATGAAGTTCGTCTTGAAAATAATAATATCCAGAGCCGCATTTGATGCTTCTTTTAGGGCCAGAATGTTCATTTCCATATACTTTCCAATGTGTCCCTGCACCCAAATAATAGATTTACCTTATAGTTGTTCCTGCCTAGAATGTTGAGTTTGTGTAGACATTCCCAAACTATCTTCAACACTCTGACTTTTATGTCAGTCATTTTTGACCGACAGCTTGATGATGAGCCGATGCATTTTCATTGGTTCGATCGCGTCAGGCCACGCGTAGTTTTCAGAGTAGGAGCATCTAAGTGATCACATTGTAAAGTCGTTTTGGTGTACAGAAGAGCATTGAAGGATGTCAGCTAAAATCGACCGATGCGGCCTGACAAGGCGATTTTTTTCAATGTATATGAGTGAAAGTGCACGATATACTCCTATTAGTTATTAATTTATCGCTAAACTCACAGGGGTTGGAACATTTGCTATAGCAGCAAAAGGATAAAACACCGAAATCTCATGAAATACTATGTACACGAAAGGGGGCTTGAAATGAGGTGAAGAGAGTGCGGAGGCATTGAGAAGGCTGCCAAGAGATGACTTCTATGTGCATTGAATGTCATGTGAAAATCCATTCCAACAATAATTAGATTCAGATATGTTCATGAGTTTTTTCACATTTCATATAATAAACGTTTTTAGGCAGTATTGTAGCTATAAATTTCATAGTGAGCGGCACAAAAAAATTCACATACGTTCATTTGAGCGCCGCGAATTCAGATCTAATGAAGATTTGAATGCATCGTCGGTAGTTTTCTCTTGGCACGGCTCGAAGTGAAACTTCTGCTTTTGGTTGAAAATCACTGCCCAGCACCGTTTTTTATAAGTCACCGTCGGTCACATATGACTAACAAAGCCTGTAATAGAGAGAGAAAAACAGGGTCCTGGCAGCCAGAGTGTTAAATTGATTTTGGAAGAGCTCAACGCTTGGATAGCTGCTTGGCTGTCGAAGAGGATAGCAATTTCCTCGTTCTGATATTTTCTGTTGAGTTTGAACTGGATGCATCTTTCTATAACGTGAATTCTCGCTTGAAAAGACGGGCCCATATGTGTTCTAAATATTTAGGACCACAGACTTCTGCTCCAGTTCCCTGGGATGTTTCAGAATAATCCGTATCATCCGTATCAACAAATGATAAAAACTCTTTTGTTCTCCAGGTGACGGCCCAATCTGGCTGGACCAAGTATCTTGCTACGGCAACGAAACTACCCTGGAAACCTGCACTCACTGGAACTGGGGTGAACACAACTGCGAACATAGCGAAGACGTGGGCGTGATTTGCACCGACGAGATGGACGAGGTGGAGGTCCAGAGAAACTCCAAGCTGCCTGCGAGATACGAGGCCGGCCTGCCAAAGTCTTGCGGATACAGAAAGGACAACCAGTTTCTGCATAACGACCTGATCCACGCTAGAGTGATCGCAGGAAGTGTGGCTAAGGAAGGCGACTATCCTTGGCAGGTAAGCACGAGCGAAGCAGGGCTTTTTTCCTCTTCCTCAGTGATTCCTTCAAGCACCTATTTGGAGTGCATAGAGAATGACTAGTAGAGGACGGGGCAGTAAGAATGAGGTTCCATTTATGGGTTTATCGCTTCTATGTCGTGAATAACGTCCCGAATGCGGGACATAATTATTTTTTCCGACAATCCTGATAATAATATTTTTCCAATTGGTTCTTCTCAAGAGTTTCTGATGACAAATTGAAAATTTATCTATGGTAATTATCTTTTACGACCCTATTAGTTATCACCATACATTGTTGCAGAGACTAAGTGGACTGAACTCAACTCAGGACTTCAGATTGTTTATATATATCGATTCGAAACATATTTCTTGGTCCTGCAATTATTTTTCAAAAAGCCGTTCATAATTCATTATTTCCGTTGCTTGAAAAATAAGACATACTTCATATTGTAACCATACCCACCCGGGTGTTGTCTAACTATGGAACTATAACCATACTTCATGTGATCGTCTAGTATTCATCATGTTCGAGAAGTATCGATGTTCAACTCGACACCTCTCAAACATGTTCCTACGTTGTGTATTTTTTTATTATAAGTTCGTGGATACAGAGTTCTGTGGAGGCGGAGAAGAAATGAAAATCGAGTATGAATCAAAGGTTTTTATTGACCACGCATCTTTTTACAATGCAAATATACGATGTGTATTTGAGTGAATTATCTGATCAATTGCTGAGATGGACTATGCTTTCATTCCTCTCGGCTTGCCTTCTTTTTTTTAGCAAAAGGATCGTCACCCGCCGGGGTTAAAATGAGTGGTTGCAAGCCACGTCCAAGTCAGTATGCCTACTGTTAATTTGAATGGAAGTAAGTAGCAATTTGACCAATCATTGTCATCTATAAGCACTTCGTGTTACGTAAACTGGTCAAGGTTGAGCAACAGTGAAGTACAATATTACCAAAAAGGTATGATGTGGGTAATTTACTCAATTTGGAATTGACTAGCTGGCAAAGTCTGAGAGGTGATAGGATATTATACTGGGACCTGGTTCTTCAACCCGTTCCTTTGGGCTAACGGAGAGGGAGGTAATCTTCCATGCTTTTCCATCATTTCTGGAGATGTTGCTTCCTCGAAGGTTGGAAGTGTTCTGAAAATATCGTTGGTCGGACTACTATTTATAAGTAAACCGTTTGTTGTGATTGTAGCTAGGACTACTTCCATGGTTACTGCTGTTCTTTTATTGGAACAATCCTGGATTTGGCCCCTTTTAGGCCCCATTTCAGAGTGTTCCCCAGCAGTATGAGGCTTCTAGCTGTGAACATACGATGTCCAAAGATCAGGTAGTTATTCTCACATAATTATAAGTCTGTCACTGTGGTTATACTTCAGATTTGAAGTATGAAAGTCTGACAGCGACAAGCGTTTGTTCCACAACACAGACACTTCCTGCCTTTGTAGCTGGAATAAATCGATACAAATCGAAGCTCAGATTACTTACCAATCTTTTTGATGTTGTAACAAAGCACAACATTGCAAAATCGAGTCTCCAACAAGGTCTTACCATACCTAGGAAACAATCCAAAGTTGGAGTGATAGAATTTATGATCCCGTGATGATTTGTTACTTATTCCTCTGATAAAAAATGAAACTACTCATAGAAATTGAAACATCATCAATGGAGTCATGAACTGAAGCACTAACTCACATATCAGAAATAAGAAAATGACTTCCGAGATGAATCATTACTCTTGATTACACAAAAATATCTTTCGATAGCCTAAATAAAATTAACAGAACCACATACTTTGACAAATAGATTATTCTGACGATTTCTTCTGTCCTCAGGCGGCCCTGAAAGTCAGAGTCAAGGACAAATCGGCGCACTGGTGCGGCGCAGTGATAATCTCCAGCAAGTGGGTCCTCACGGCCGCCCACTGTCTGCAGGGCTACACGAAGGGCGCCTACGTCATAGTGGCGGGGGAGTACGACACCGACACCGATTCGGGCGCCGAGCAGCGCAAGTTCATCGACGAGTTCTTCGTGCACGAGCGGTTCCGTCAAGGTCACAAGATGAACAACGACATCGCGCTGGTCAAGGTCAAGGGCGGCGGGTTCGTGTTGAACGATGACGTGCAGCCGATTTGCTTGCCCGATCCGGATGCGGATTACGAGAGGCGGTTGAACTGCACGATATCCGGGTTCGGATCTGTCAAAAGCGGCACGTCAGGTATAGTAAAGAAGACTCCTCTCCGGTCATTATGAAACTGCACTTTCAATGGTTAACTGCCAAAGGCTGAATCACCTACACCAAGTCTATCTGACGCCTGCTGAGGTGGAAAACTCTACCGTCAGGAAAATTCTAGGCTTCATTAGAAGTGTAGAGTTAGAGGGCTCGAACTAAATTTTAGAAACAGACACTATGAACCACATTTTGAATCATGATTCCGTTTGCCATTCAATACATAAAATCATTCGCAATATTATATATAAGTAGTTGATGTTTTTTATTCACTCACCTTCAGGAAATATTTTTCAGTCGAAAACAATTGAACCACACAATGATACAATTTTTTACGACGCCTGAAAATAAAATGAACATCATATGCGGTCTGTTCCGTGCAAATAGATCACGCACAATCATAGTACCTGGTTTTCAACCAAGCGGAATGATATTTTGATCCTTATAAAACACTTAGATAATGCCCGTGCAATTGTGAGGACGGAGCGTGAGGGGGTGTGTCCTTTTTGTAGTTACATATATACGTCATGATGCATTCTAGGTACCTGTATATAGGTACATATAAGTTTATCAGTTTTCATATGATGTTCATTCCATTTTAATTTCAAACTATTCAAGCCCTGTGAAGATGCGCCTGCATTTAATACGGCTCATTTTACCTCATTTTATTTAACATTTTAGGTCCTGAACAAGATTTGGATGTCCAAAGGTGATCCATGCATATTTAAAGAACTTACAATGAAAGTCAAATGCTTTGGACATATTTCATCCAATGGACGTAAATTTGACAGATATTGCTGTACATCCAACGGATGTCCAGGGTGTCCTTTTTTTTTTCGAGGTGGCCAAAATCTTCCATGGAAACCATGAAGGACCATTCCCTTCATGGTAGGTGTACCCACTAAACACTCCACCTTCTTTCAAGGCTCGTCTGACCGAAGTCTCCGATGACAATAATGCCTGTTGGCCCATTGTACCATATTGTGCTTCGAATATGCTGTTATTGATTTTACCATATAGGTACCACCCATGGTTCTTATATGAAGGCCACTCCAAATGCCGCCACAGTAACTGTGAGCACTGCTGATCACAGTACCAGAAGTTCGTTTGAAAGGCCCTTTTCATTCAGGTTCCTGAAGACTACTCTCCCGAGCCCTGGTCTCGTCCATGAAGAAGGCCAAAAGTTTTCCTTCTCCTACAAGTAATGGGGGAAGGAGTTGGTCCAGCCCTGTGGTGCCCCTTGTTCCCGTTATCGACACCATATAACTCTGGTGCCATTCATTCCTCTTCACGGGTTCCCACAACTTGGATTAGGTTGCCAGAGCCTCGTTATCAATACTCGGCCATATAAGCATGTGTTCACAAATTGCCTCAGATATGTCCACAAAACTGTCCCATCTGAAGAGTGAAGAGGATGCCATCGAAGACAAGCTATGTACCTCGGGAGTGCTATTCCCGTACTCACCAGTCGTGAGCCACTAAGAAACAGGGTGTCCATAGCTGGGCATCCTTTGGAATACCGGTATACCAATGGATTTACTAGTGTTCTATCAAAAGAAACGTTTTCATGAACGTCGGTAGCAAAACGCGTCGTTTACGAGATATATACCCCTATATAAAGATTTAGAATTAACGATACAAAAATTTGAGATATTATGTTAAGCATATACACACTTAACAGAATGTGAAAACGAAAACATCTATAGTATTTTCCAGCTGGTCCGATTGTGAGAATCATATCGCAACCAAAAAAACTGTACAACCCTGAGTATACAGTGTGTCCCACTTACCATGCTCACCATGGGTATCTTTTTAACGGTGAGAGATACGAGGTCGGTCGAATGACACCAAATGTGGAGTTTGTCAGGGCCATCTATAATGTGAAAAAACATTTTGATAAAATCTATTCGTTTTTGTTTTATACGCAAAAAACAGATTTTGATCATTTTCATGTCTCCTCCGTAACTTCTTTATTTAAAATATTCAAATAGGAATTTCACATTCTTGTGGCAGTTTTTCAAAGTGATTTCGAAAAAAATATGAAATTTATACCAACTCTTCTAGAATTTGAGATATTAGCACCAACTTTAGTTTTTCAAATGTAGGTCATAGCTCACTATGACTTAGTTACAAATAACTTTTTTTCTCTTACAAATGATATGTCGCAGTAATAGTTTTGTGTTGATAACAACGGAGTTATCGTCATTTATACAAGAATAAAAAATTATTTGGAAGCCGCCAACTTGAATTTATAAATTTTAACAAAAATATAATGATCTCCGACCTCAAAAACCCCCACTTACCAATTTTGAATGGAATCGGACCAAATCTTGTCCGCCATCTTGGAACAGCCATTTTTTTCAATTTCAACAAAAATTCCATAACTCCGATTAACTTGAAATTTGACAGGTGTTCATAATTTCGGTGATAATACAGTATGGAATTTTTGTTGTGATTAAAAAAAATGGCTCTGCTCCAAGATGGCGGACAAGATTTGGTCCGATTCCATTCAAAATTGGTGAGTGGGGGTTTTTGAGGTCGGAGATCATGATTTTTTGTTAAAATTTATAAATTCAAGATGGCGGCTTCCAAATAATTTTTTGTTCTTGTATAAATGACGATAACTCCGTTGTTATCAACACAAAACTATTATTGCGACATATCATCTGGAAGAGAAAAAAAAGTTATTTGTAACTAAGTCATAGTGAGCTATGACCTACATTTGAAAAACTGAAGTTGGTGCTGATATCTCAAATTCTAGAAGAGTTGGTATAAATTTCATATTTTTTTCGAAATCACTTTGGAAAACTGCCATGAGAATGTGAAATTCCTATTTGAATATTTTCATAAATAAAGAAGTTACGGAGGAGACATGAAAATGATCAAAATCTGTTTTTTGCGTATAAAACAAAAACGAATAGATTTTATCAAAATGTTTTTTCACATTATAGTTGGCCCTGACAAACTCCACATTTGGTGTCATTCAACCGACCTCGTATCTCTCACCGTTAAAAAGATACCCATGGTGAGCATGGTAAGTGGGACACACTGTATATTTCGTAACCCCAGTAGATACCTATAACTTTAAGATGTTCTATAATGATTGAACTTGCATGATTACAGCCTATTCCCATAAATTGATGGCTGCTTGGATTCCGATCCATTCCAGGGATATTTGCAAAATGCCACACATCTACGGCGATTCCATAGCAGATGGGATGATTTGTGCTGGTTTTCTAGATGGGGGTGTTGATGCCTGCGATGGGGATAGTGGGGGACCACTAGCATGCTTGGACCAAGGTACAAATCTGATAAATAAACACTATAATAATTCATGAAATTTCCCTATGAAAGCCCCAAGCAAATTAATCTATTCCGTATCCTAATATTTTCCATCGTTATTGCTGTCTATGCCCAAGTAATCAGGTGACGAATGGTCATGTCATTGTGACCACAGTATATTATCCTTTGTGACGTACCCCATTGGTGATTTTTCGCCAGTGACGTCATGATGAACCTACTTTCTATGACGTCAATTAGTTTCAAAACACTTGGCAAAAAAAAAAATTTTTTAATTTTAAAGCGCACCCTGTAACCAAGAGTGGTCCTACAGGGGGGTATAGAGGGTGTAATTATTCCTTCCCCTCAGAGCTTCACTGCAGATCAATTTTTGGACTTAATAACAGAATGGTGCAAATAAAATCAAGAAAAGGAAACGAAAAGAACAAAATTATAAAAACAATCAAAATAACACAAACAGTGCGTTCACAAAAAGTACGACGTTGTAAGATCGACTGAGTGAAAAAATATTACATTTTATGAAAACACAATCATGTTTTTTATTCAGACAAGAGACACATTTTATCTAGATGATTTGGGTCGAATATCGTCTTGTTTTGAGCTCAAGATTCTATAGTTGAAATAATTCCAATTAGCAATGAAACACCCTGTATATTATTATGCAGGATTCCTATTGTTCTTGTATTGAAATCATCTCTTGTATTCATCATGGCTTTACTAGGGATACATATGCTGAAATCATTCAATTTATAAAATTTCTAGGTGTTTTCACATTATATGGATTGACTTCTTGGGGTCAGCACTGCGGTCATGCAAACAAACCAGGAGTGTATGTGAAAGTAGCCCATTACAGAGCATGGATAGAAGACATCATCCAGAAACATTCTCAGTGATTTTTCCGTTTGTTCAATTCGATTTGAATTCGAAATGTAAATGAGTGCAGTAACAAATAAACAATTAGAAAAGAGGCATGTCAGAGCAATGACGGCTAAATATCTAGATTGTTTGACGTGTCTGGATATTTAGCCGTCATTGGTTCAATTATTGGAATAAACAAATCCCTGAAAATCTGATCATGTCCGCCACTGGAATGTAGTAGATACCGTAGGTGCTAAAGACGATAGAATAAAAAATAGGAAGAAGATAGTATTAACCCCCCAATTTTTTGACATTTCGACTTTGTAAACAAATAAAACCATCAAACATGTATCTGATAAAACAATATATTCAATAAAAATGCTTACTTTTATAAAAGAAAGACCTCCTCTAGTGGTGTTCTTCCTATGTTTATTAATAACATCACTTACCTTGTTTGGATTCTCATTTTATATCAGAAATAGTAATGATATTCCTGACAGTGATGCAATTTATGTGAGTCAAATTTACATAATATTAATAACAACACATGCAAGATAACATGGCTTATCTGGAGGTTCTCAGTCTTAATTCAAATCAAATGAAATCTCAGCTAAATTTAAACAAAACACAGTGAAAGGAATATCTGTATCACCTTATTGCTGATCACCTAATAGTAAAAATTAACCATTACCTTTTTTATTTCCTATTAAAATTACAAATAAGGGTTTAACATGCTATACTTCAATTATTTGAGTAATTACCTACATATGTGGAGGTTTGCAAAATTTCAAGGCATCAGAATTAACATGAAAAAATCACATTGTTATTACCAAATAGGTATTGAATATTTTTCAGGATTGGAATCAATTACTAAAACATATGAATGAACTAGATGTATGCCTGAAGGAAAAACCTTTGCAGCAAAATATCAGTATTAATACCAACTCTCTGATTGAAATGAGTACAGTTCAAACACTTGTTAATGTTGATGTCACATATTTCAAGAAATATTCGAAAATACAAGGTTTGATATCATTAAAGGGTAAGTAATTTATGAGTAGTGCCATTATTTGCTTGAAATTCAAGGTGGAGTGAGAATTGTTTTCAATTTATGTTGATCATAAGTATTATATTATATATATTATTTACCAACTTAGTTAATTCTCAGTCATTATTGGGAACTAATCTCAGAAAAAATTCATATCATTGAATGGAGAATTTGAAAAAATCCAGTTAATTCAATCACCTATTTCTCTGATTTATTCTAAAATTTTAGTTTCATATACTGATTATTTATATTGAAGTAGGTACCATCAATAAATACATAATAATAATGAATAATGCCTCAGGGATTTTTGCTTCAAATTTGTTTGGTTGTGTTTATGACCAGTCATTTTCAGGATGGCATTCAATGTGTCCAAAAAACCACCAAACACCATCAAGTTTTGAAATATTCTTTGAAATACCAAAAACACCTGCAAATGTTAGTGCTGTGGATATTTGTGTTAACTTGAGAGGACCTTCAGAGTATCTTCCAATATTTTCAGAACCAAACTGTTTAGTAAGCAGTATACCAAGTCAGATTGAAGATGATGTAAGGTTCTTTTCAAGGGATATATTATATTGCATTGTACTTAATTAACCAAAATTTACAGCTCCCAATAGGATATTTGAATACCACTAGGAAAGCTAAATATGATGATCAATTCTGTCTGGGTCAAAGATTCACAAAAATGTCATTCTATCCACAAAAAAATGATCTGATAGCTAATTCATTGGGGAATGTAAGTATTATATTCCTGTGGTACCTATATAGTGTTATTTTATAATAGATTTTATCACTCTTTGTTTGTTTGTTTTTTTATTTCAGAATGAGAAGAGCCTCATTTTTGTACATCTACTGTGGACTAGCTGTATACTGATTTTTATAATAATTGTTATATTGATTTATGGAATATTACATGGTGATAATTCAAAGTTCGATAAATATATTGAAAAATGTACAAATCTCATCCAACACAGGTGATTTTATGTAATGTAAAAATGTTCTTTTTTTATATGTATCTTCTTTCATTTTCATTTCTTTTGTTATTATTGTTTGTAGTATTGAAAAGCTCCAAACAAATTCAAAAGATCAAAAACATTATAGTAGGTAACCAATATGGTACCAAATTCTACACATGGAACTTTGAGCTCTCTTGAAAATACAAAATACAGACCTTTCTCAAAAAATATGATGCCCAGATACCTATTATGCTACTATAATGGTTTTTTATAGGCAATCCTTCCAATATTAACAACCTATATATGCATGTAAATAAATATGTATAGCAGAAATCAGAAATAGAATAAATCAGGAAATTCATTTAGCATGTAAATATCCAATCTGGTGACAGATAATTTCTTCAGGAAATAAAGCAAAATGTTGATTAAAAAAATGAGTTATAGGCTGTTTATGAATATGGAGATGAATAAAATAAACATGTTTTGTAAAATTTTATAAACAGCAAAATGCAATCACAAATATAATCATTAATAAATAAACCAAACTGTTGTACAAATACTGATTCTCAACTATTATTATTTCAAAATCCTCTGTTACTTAGGTACTATTACAAATATTTGTTCAATACCTCAACTCTAGTGATGTGTTTTTGTACTAATTCACCAATCTACCAATTTATCAAACCTCATGAAGTAATATATTTCAATTGAATTTGGTACAAATCATTAGTTTTAATCAGTCATTCTTAAATATAAATGTACAAATCATTTGCTGCCATTATCATATATCTGATCCCATTCAAAAATAAATGGAGCTGCTGAATGTAATACTTTCATCAAGAAGTTGAATAAACACAAAATCAATACTATATGATTAATAAATAAGTATACAATATAATACTATTGTAAAAAGCTGTAGAAAAATGCACAGCAAAAAACAGCACCAATGATCAACATTAGTGAATACTTGAAAAAATAAAATAACAAGGAGAATATTGTACTTTATATAAAACAAAGTTCATGCACTGACCTTTGTGAGCTGGTTATTGAAATTTGGAGGAACATTTTCTTTATCATAAGTAGTAGAATGGTAGGGACTTTCAATACCAAATGGACTATACATTTTTGTTGGAGTTCTTCCTAATACTTGTCTTGAATAAGGTGTTGCACAATTTGGAGTCATGGGGCCTTCCTCAAGGATTTGTCTGCGTTTGGTGGATATCTTGAATCTCTGAAATGAACAGATTGAGCACACATTTCAATTTTTTCAAATTATTTGAATCAACCCAACCTCACTGCTCAACCCCAATGGAAATTACCTGTGTTATGGTTCCTATTGTTGTTCTGAATGTGTTGAATGTCTTTGAAATTCTCTCAGCTCCATTTCTGAATACTTTTCTAGTGTTATCGTTGAATGATAACACAGATAAAACTGACCTATCACCATGTTGCACTCTCGATGGGTTGCTTTGTGTACTATCCTGGAATGCGTTTTCTAGTTTTCTCCTACAATGTTCCATTCCTGAGCTCCTTGTTGATGAAGATGAAGAATTAGCAGAAACATTTCGACGAAATGTGAATGAGTCACTTTTACTAGGCAAAACCATTGTTTCTACTGACTTAAAAATAATTCCAGCACGTCTCCTGCAACTACCAACAAATATCAAAATTCAAACAAAAAAAACCGTTACACCAAATATGACTAGAGTCCCTGTATGAATTTGACAGCAAAAGTGTCAGATACATACAGGAACTCTAAATATGACAAAATGTCATCTACCTCTTACGTTTGTCATGTGTCTCTTTCATTGTCTTCAATCTAATGTCATGTCGTCATGTCAATATTGTCATTGTCAATCAATGAATAATAAATAAATAAATAATAATGATGATGATAGAGATTGATGATAATAGGTCAGCGATTGAAATGATGAAATGAACGTGTTATGGTTTTGCGTATGCTAATTTCAAGTTTTGGCAAATAAATTCTTTGCATCACATTTTGCAGTACGCCTGTAAAAATCGCTGAAAGCGACCGGGTTACAGACTAGTGTATTATTTGTTATCTTTATAATTTCTCCAAATGGCTGCTGCTTTATCATATGAAGGTGAAAACCCATTCAAAATGTTCGTATCCTTACTAATCCTCGAATTTTAGACCTGCGGAAGCAGGCAAGACAACTGGAAAATGAAATTGACCTGAAACTGGTTGCCTTCAGTAAACTTGGAGCTGGTATCAAAAGTCCAGTTAGCAGCAATGCAGATACAGTGCCCTTGTTATCAGGAGAAGATACTTTTGAAACTATGTCTTTGGAAATCGAGGATTTGTTGAGTAGAGTAAGTCAGCTTCATGAATCTCATTTTTTTATCATGTTTCATCATGTCCTCCTGCAATAAATAGGTATCAAGCAAACATTGAATTGCTATTTTTTTTTTGTATTCAGCTGACTCAAGTTAATGAGAGATTATCTGAACAGCCAGTATCAGGGGCAGCAATGCTTCATACCCTTCAGAGACACAGAGAAATTTTGGCTGACTTGGCTAGAGAATATCGAAAAACCAATTCTCTCAGAGAGATCCAAAGACAAAGAGAAGATTTACTTGGTAATTCTGAGTCTTTCAGAACAGATGGAGTGAATAATAGACGTGATATTTACTTGAAAGAGAATCAACATATTCACAAGTAAGTGGGATTTGTTTTTGTTTATGAAAAAACAGAAAAGTGTTTTATTCTGGGTAATGTTATTTTTTTGTAGTTCGGATCGCTTGGTTAATGAACAAATATCAATTGCAATGGAAACCAGGGAACATCTCACCAGCCAACGGCAATCTTTAAAAAGATTACAGACTAGGTTCAATGATATTTCCAATAGGTACCCATTGATAAATAGTTTGATCCAGAGGATTAACCTCAGAAAACGCCGTGACTCTATCATATTAGGTTTAGTGATTTCTCTTTGTACAATCCTATTGTTGATTTATACTTTCAGTTGAAATAGTGTAGTTGTCATCATAATGAAATGATTTGAATTTTATGCATGTGATATATTATGTCTTAAATTTTTTTCCTCAACAAAAATAATCAACTAAAAACCAAATTATCATAAGAGAATTTATGTTTGTACATTAAATTATAATTATTACCAATATAATATTTTGAGAAACTCTCAGGGTTTTGCCTTGTGCCGTTCCTGGACATGCTCTGTACCCATGATGAAAATAGACTGGTGTAACCACTTGTCAATTGTTTCTTTCCAAAACGCAAAACGTGTAGACCGCGAAACACCGTAGCAAGGCCGCACCGGATTGACTGTAGATGGCGTAGGGAACATCGTGCCACATATAATTCACAGATATAATGAAAATTTCACGTCTTTTTCATTAAATCAATCACTTTTCCTCAATGTTTTCAAATTACGAATTAATATACGTAAATGTAAACAACAAAACAAAAAACCATTGTGTGATCTTGCTCACTTCGGGAACAGCGCCATCTAACGTTAGTTTTGCGCGGCCTTACTACGGTGATAGAATTCGATATAATCAAGTAGGCCAGAGGTCTACAAAATTTCTAGGGTTTTGTAAGAGGGAGCTATTTCACCATACATATATCCACCTTTTCTGTACCCAAAAGCCTTGTATTAGGTATTTCGGAATGCTGTCAAAATCAGATTCAAGATGGTTGCTGTACCCAAACAAATAGCTGTCATTCCGTGACTTTTTTAACCATATTTTCAATTGAATTTAAAATGTGTTTATTGCTGCTTTCTTCGCTTCTTTAGTTGATAATTGAACTTTATATACTTAGTTTTATTAGGATTGCATCATCTTTATGAAAATTATTGAATAGTTGATGTGTATTCCTGTGGTTTATTCTGGACACTATTTGGATAGGTTTTGCTTGGTGTTTGTGTTATAACAATGTTTTATTGTGGAATAATCAATTGTAAGAGTCGGTAATATCGTGATAGCATAAAGTTTCATCGAATCCTGAGTGTCTTGAAATTTAGACATAAATTGGAACAATGAATTATCAAAAGAAGAGACAAGTGGATAAATAGAAATGGTTTGATGGAGCAGAAACTCAAAATGTTGAGAGTTTGCAGCAAACATTTCCTACCTACTTGGTGAGTTCACTGAAACAGGTAATGAATAGTAGTGAATATAATAGTTATAATGGAAATTTTAGGGAAACCTGCATATCTATCAGATGTTAATAATCCTAACTGGGCTCCCAGTTTATTTTTGGGATATGATAGCTTAGCCTCTGCCAACCAATCTGAGGGAACTATCAATGATATGGAATAAACATCAGAATGCCAAGCTGAGGCTGCAGGACCATCTGATTTCAAACAGGCTGCAGGGCCATCTAATGAACTGTAGGATCATCAGATTTTCAAGATGAGAACCTTTGTATAGTTCCTGAATGTGATAAATATTCACAAACAAATATCACAGCTGTCAGCCTAGTGATGATCTAATTATAATTTGATAGGAATCACCCCACAAGAAACAGTGTGTTTGATCAGTGAGGCTTGTGGAGAAAGAGCATCTGATTATCCCATAACAATCAATTCAAAATTGATAGATAATATTATTCCAGGTGAGTTTCTGTACAAGATCAATTGAATATAATTGATACCAATCTTTATCAAATCCAGAATTACTGAAAGAGAATAAACTTTTTAAATTAGTTTTATTGACTAGAAGCTAGAAATCTTATATATGTATGGAATAACTAATTTTATTAAACAGCATGCACTGTTGAAAATGTTCCACTTGTCTTGACTTTCAATCTATTTATGTATGTCTACTGTTCTAACAATCTTCCTGAACTCATCTGAATTTCAAACAGTATCTATCCAACTTTCAATTAATACAAATTCAATTTGTAGGTGATTTGATTTTAGGTGACTATGGCTTTTTGGTTGGTGACTATGTACAAATTTTGAATGCCCAAGTGAAGATTCAAGCTTTTACAAAAGGAAAGAAACAATTACATTCTACTGAGATTGTGGGAACTAGAGCTACTGATGCCAATGTGAGAATTCATGTGGAGTGAATTATTGGTGCAATGAAACAGAAGTACAGGATATTAGGTGATCAACATGGCAATTTCACTTATAATGTGGTGATGATCCAACTCTCCACAAAATCATTACAATTTGCTGTGCAAATATCAACGAAATGTCCCCCAATTGTTCAATTGGACTGAATATATTATGTTCTTGATTGATGAAGATATATAGTGGTAGAGTTGTTATGCAATATAGACAAATTTTTGATAAGTAGGAACCAAATATATACAGCATATCTCACTTTGAAAGCCCCTTCCTCTATATCCCTCAACATCTTGATTTTTATGAAATCATAGGAATATTTTGGCATAAAAACTAACTTCATATTGTTCCTCATTGTGCAAAAAAATCACCACATTTCAAATTGACAGGATTGGCTTAATTTTTTGTTATTTTCAGCCAGGAGAAAATAGTGAATTCAAACTGCTAATCATGATTTAAAAAAAAGATACAATATTTTATGTTGAAGTTACCATTTCAGAGTAAATAATGATAAGATTACATTTGCAAAATTGCTGTTTTTGAATTTTGAACAAAACTGATTTGCTCACTCACAACTCACCTAAATAATAAATCATGATAAGTAGTAGATATTTGGGAACACAGGAGAAGAAATACTCAGTTTTTTCAAAAACACAAATGAACAAGATTGAAATTTATTATATTGTTGTAAGAGATTTTTCTTTGTGCCAACACTTTTGGTTGGTCAATTTGCAGGAACTTTTCATGAAACATCAATGAACAGTGGATTCATATGTTAATTCATAATCAAATTGTTGATAAACATATTCCTTGTGATAAGACTGATGAGTATTGTTTAAAAAAATCTGAATTACTATGTTTTATCTGTGGTTATATTTTTATTTATTTATTTACGGGAAACCCCCCCAGATAGCACACACTCGCCTAAGGTCATCCTCAATGTGTCGCCAAACGCCTGGAGAGGACGTTCTATTTTCTACAACCTAAGAACATCAACAGGCGTAAATTTAGCGCTGTAATTGTCCTAAATGAGTTCTTTCAGTGACAGCCTGAGGATGTAAGGAATTTCGTGCCTACGGACGTCTTCAGATGACATTCCATGAAATAACGTGTCATCGAAGACAAAAGGAAGAAGAAGAAGAACTAGAATTGAGGTTATGTCTCCTGATAGTCATGATTTGTTCAAGATACATCATAATATTATATTAATGATTATATCAAAATTATTAGAGTATTCATTGAATACCTTCATCAAATTTCTATTTCACAAAATGATTGCGAGAAGAACTTTATTGCACAGAATTGAGAGATAACAATAACAAAAGGATGATTATCTCTGTTGATGACATTTCCCTCAGGTAGCAAGAAACAATATGGTGAGTAAATACTAAATAGAATCATTGATATTACCAGACATGAAATATTGATATTATATTGTTTCAGGAGGTTATTGAGAACACAAACTTGATGATATCATCATAGCAAACATGTTTTATTTCAAGATAGCTTTGCTTCTTCGGAATCTATAAAATATTGTATGGAAGCTTGAACTTTCAGTATGAATTCAATAAAGGTAGCTACCTGAATCAAATCATTGATATAGTAGGTACTGGACATGAAATGTTAAAAGGTTAATTATTTGTTTCAGATGAAGTTATTGAGAACACAAGATTGATGATGTCATCACAGCAGAGATGTTTCATTCCAAGATAGTTTGGCTTCTTCGAAATCTATGTGAGATTGTATATGCATGTTTGCACTTTCAGTATATTCAATAAAGGTAGGTACATAAATCAAATCATTATTGATATAGTAGGGACTGGAACATGAAATATTGATGGGTACATTATTTGTTTCAGGAGGTTATTGATAACACAAAATGATGATATCATCAGAGCAGAGATATTTTATTCCAAGATATTTTGGCTTCTTTGGAAAGTATGAAAGATTGTACATATGCAGACTTGAACTTTCAGTAAATTCAATAATAATGGTTGGTACCTATAACTAAATAAATCATATCATTGATAGTAAGTACTGGACATGAAATATTAATACATTGTTTGTTTCAGAAGGTTATGCAAAACACAAACCTGATGATATTTTCATTCCAAGATAGTTTTGCTCCTTCAGAATCTATAAAATATTGCATGAAGGCTTCAACTTCCAGTTGATTATTCTGCATTAGGAATGTCCAGAGTTCAGAAATCAAAAACAAAATGGAGAAATATAACTATCAATAGGCAATAACTTCTAGTAGTGCTCAACAAGAAGCTGAAATACATTTCTTTGAAAAGGAAATTGAAATTTTTCAGAATAAGTTATAAATAATAGAATGTAAGTTTTTCATTTGGTTTTTCATTTGAACCTATCATAAATAGAGGGAAATTTTGCAAATATCATGAGATCCATATTATTTTGAGGAAATTATCATTTGCATAATACAAGGTGAGTCACTAGTGTGTTATCCTTATTGTATATTAGCCAAACGATCAGATAAATAGAGAAAATTCAAGTACAACAGTAATAGGTTTTCATGAGAACTTTCACATCAAATTGTTTTCATATATATCTCTAGGGTGTTCGAATTCCAAGATTTATTGACTGATGATTGTTTTTTTCCAAATGGGACACCCTGTATACTATTGCATTTTTAGGTTCTCCCTGAAGAGCTGATTCCATCAATGCATCACACTTGGGGTCTAGCGGGAATGATTACAGAGATATAGGGGGTTCAAAAACAAGATTTTTCAATTTTAGGATTTTTTTTGTGGAAACTATTCGATATTGGTCAAAACGGCTCACATATCCTCATAAACTTTCGGTTTACTATCTACTGACATTCAATCAGAACAAATAGAGGGTGGGTTAACATTCAGAATACTGATCAGCTTATTGTATCTGGTCCAAATAAATATCAGTAGATAGCTAATCAAAAGTTATGACAGGAACATGTGAGCCGTTTTGACCATTAATGAATAGTTTCGACAAAAAAAATCCTACATTTGAAGAATCTCAATTGTCAACACCCTATATCTCTGTAATAGTTCCCACTAGACACCAAGTGTGATGCATTGATGGAATCAACTCTTCAGGGAAAACTCAAAAATGCAATAATATACAAGGTG